TGTTTTGATGTGTTCTTAGATTTGATTTGCTAGAATTTTATTGAGTATTTTTGCATTGATGTTCATAAGGGAGATTGGCCTGAAGTTCTCTTCCTTTGTCGGGTCTTTGTGGGGTTTGGGTATGAGTGTAATTGTGGCTTCATAGAATGAATTGGGTAGTGTTCCTTCTGTTTCTATTTTGTGGAATAGTTTGAAGAGAATTGGTATTTGGTCTTCCTTGAAGGTCTGATAGAATTCAGCACTAAAACCATCTGGTCCTGGGCTTTTTTTGGTGGGGAGACAATGACTGCTGCTATTTCCTTAGGGGCTATGGGACTGTTTAGATGGTTTATCTGCTCCTGATTTAACTTTGGTACCTGGTATCTGTCTAGGAAGTTGTCCATTTCATCCAGGTTTTCCAGTTTTGTTGAGTATAGGCCTTTGCAGTAGGATCTGATGATTCTTTGAATTTCTTCAGTTTCTGTTGTTATGTCTCCCTTTTCAGTTCTGATTTTATTAATTAGGATACTGTCTCTGTGCCCTCTGGTTAATCTGGCTAACGGTTTATCTATCTTGTTGATTTTCTCAAAGAACCAGCTCCTGGTTTTGTTGATGTTTTGTATTGTTCTTTCTGTTTCTATTTTGTTGATTTCAGCCCTGAGTTTGATTATTTCCTGCCTTCTACTCCTCCTGGGTGTATTTGCTTCTTTTTGTTCTAGAGCTTTTAGTTGTGCAGTCAAGTTGTTAGTGTGTGCTCTCTCCAGTTTCTTTTTGTAGGCACTTAGAGCTATGAGTTTTCCTCTTATCACTGCCTTCATGGAGTCCCACAAGTTTTGGTATGATGTGTCCTCATTTTCATTGAATTCTAAAAAATCTTTAATTTCTTTCTTTATTTCTTCCTTGACCAAGTCATCATTGAGTAGAGAGTTGTTCAGTTTCCATGTACATGTGGGTTTTCCATTGGTTTTGTCATTATTAAAGACCAGTCTTAGTCTGTGGTGATCTGATAAGATGCAAGGGATTGTTTCAATCTTTTTGTATCTGTAGAGGCCTGTTTTGTGACCAGTTATATGGTCTATTTTGGAGAAGGTACCATGAGGTGCTGAGAAAAAGGTATATTCTTTTGTTTTAGGATGAAATGTTCTATAGATGTCTGTTAAGTCCATTTGGTTCATAACTTCTGTTAATTTCAAAGTGTCTCGGTTTAGTTTCTGTTTCCATGGTCTGTCCATTGCTGAGAGTGGGGTGTTGAAATCCTCCACTATTATTGTGTGAGGTGTAATGTGTGTTTTGAGCTTTAGTAGAGTTTCTTTTATGTATGTAGGTGCCCTTGCATTTGGAGCATAGATGTTCAGAATTGAGAGTTCATCTTGGTAGATTTTTCCTTTGATGAGTATGAAGTGTCCTTCCTTATCTTTTTTGATTAATTTTGGATGAAAGTCAATTTTATTTGATATTAGAATGGCTACTCCAGCTTGTTTCTTGTGACCATTGGTTTGGAAATTTGTTTTCCACCCTTTTATTCTGAGGTAGTGTCTGTCTTTGTCACTGAGGTGTGTTTCTTGAATGCAGCAAAATTCTGGGTCTTGTTTGTGTATCTAGTCTGATAATCTGTGTTTTTATTGGGGAATTGAGACCATTGATATTAAGAGATATGAAGGAAAAATGATTGTGGCTTCCTGTTATTTTTGTTATTAGAGGTAGAATTATGTTTGTATAGTTATCTTCTTTTGGGGTTGTTGGAAGATTACTTCCTTGCTTTTTCTAGGTTGTAGTTTTCCTCCTTGTGTTGACATTTTCCATCAATTATCCTTTGAAGTGCTGGGTTTGTGGGAAGATATTGTGCAAATTTGGTTTTGTCATGAAATATCTTGGTTTCACCATCTATAGTGATTGAGAGTTTTGCTGGGTATAGTAGTCTGGGCTGGCATTTGTGTTCTCTTAGGGTCTGTATGATGTCAGTCCAGGCTCTTCTGGGTTTTATAGTCTCTGGTGAGAAGTCTGGTGTAATTCTTATAGGTCTGCCTTTATATGTTACTTGACCTTTTTCCCTTTCTGCTTTTAGTATTTTTTCTTTGTTTTGTGCATCTGATGTTTTGATTATTGTGTGACGGGAGGTATTTCTTTTCTAGTCTAGTCTATTTGGTGTTCTGTAGGCTTCTTGTCTGTTTATGGGCATCTTGTTCTTTAGGTTAGGGAAGTTTTCCTCAATAATTTCTGTTAGTCTTTTTATTGGGGGATTTGAGACCGTTGATATTGGGAGATATCATTGAGCAGTGTTTGTTGATTCCTGTTCTCTCTCTCTCTCTCTCTCTCTCTCTCTCTCTCTCTCTCTCTCTGTATCTGAGATTATTTATTCCCTATTTTCATGAGTGTAGTTAACTTGCACAGATTGGCGTTTTCCTTCTAGCATCTTATGTAGGGCTCAATTTGTAGATAAATATTGTTTAAATTTGGCTTTATTTTAGAATATCTTGTTTTTTTTTCTATCTATGGTGATTGAAAGTTTTGCTGGTGTAGTAGTCTTGGCTGGCATCTATAGTGCCTTAGAGTATGTAGCACATCTATCCAGGTCCTTCTAGCTTTTAGAGTCTCCATTGAGAAGTCAGGTGTAATTCTAATTGGTCTGCTTTTGTATGTTACTTGGTCTTTTTTCCTTGCAGGTTTTTATAGGAGTTGTTTTGATTTTTTGTTGTTGTTCTGTTCGTTTAGTCTTTTGATTATTATGTATTGGTGAAGCTTGCCTCTGTAATTCTTGTTCAAATTCCAAAATTTTTTATTTTCAGAATTTCCTTATTTGGGTTTTCTTCATTTTCATGTATTGTTTGTGTTTTTCTGACTTTCTTTCTGGGATGTGTTAATGTCCTCTTTAAGGACCTCTGCCATCTTCATACAGGTGGTTCTAGTATCTTTTTGTTGTGGTTCAGCTATGTTGGACTATTTATGGCCTGCTGTGGTAGGCTGGGCTCTAGAGGAGACATGTTGGCCTCGCTGTTATTCATATATATTGGGCTCTAGTCATCTGGGATGTCGATGATTATAGGTCTAGGTGCTGATTTCTGGATTTGTTTTTGTTGGGTTTTTGTTGTGTTTGTGGATCTACAAAGTAGCATCTTATTATGATCTGACGTGTTTCTGTAATATTAATGTCAAATTTTCTATATTTAGTTAACTTTATATTTTTAAAAGAGGAATGCATAATTAGCTACTGTACAATATACTGATGAATATCCTTGGTTTCTGTTTCCTCTCTGGATTTTTGGAGAGTGTGATGCCTGTGTGTTACTTAGCAGGTATTTTATTGGGAGGTGACACTTAGAAACAAGGATAGAGTACGGGTATGGAGGGGTTCACAGGAGTGTTCAACCAGGATCTGTTTCTTTTGTCTTCTTGGAATGGGTGAGACAGTGAAGATAGGTCACCTCAGAGGATCAGCTAAAGCATTGGTCATGAGACTAGGGTGTTGGATCTAGGAGAACAGAAGGAGGGGAAAGTCTACAGACAGCCTACCTGCTGCTTTCCTGGCAGGAGTGGTCTGTGTTAGCAAGGAGTGCTTGCAGAAGTTGGGCTGGGATAATGCAACAAGTTAGAAGACAAAGGTTAGGAGGAGAGGTCTGTGGGATCCACAGGAGATGTGAGCAGAGGGAGAAGGGAGGCTGCAGCAGGTATTCCATTGCCGAGTTAGGGTTGAGACTGGGGCATTGGGTTTGGAGATGAAGAGGGAGTGGTGAAGTTCTTCAGTTAGCTTACCTGTTTACCTAGCCTGTTCGGCTTCTGCGTTCACAGGGAATGCCTACTGGTATTGGAGGCTGGGATACTGGGATGAGTTTGGGGAAGGACAGTTGTGGGAGAAGATTCCAATGATGAGGTCAGAGAGGAATGGGAGGCCATAGACTTCCTGCTACAGAGCTGGGGATGAGACTTAGTGTGTGTGTGTTGGAGTGACATTTCTTGTATTATTTAGTTTTTGAGTCTCCATTTCCAGTGTATTTGAGTATGTGCTGCTTTATCTCACAGAAGCTGCTTTGTTCCAACTGGTGTTCATCAGTATATTGTACAGTAGCTAATTATGCATTCCTCTTTTAAAAATATAAAGTTAACTAAATATAGAAAATTTGACATTAATATTACAGAAACACGTCAGATCATAATAAGATGCTACTTTGTAGATCCACTAGAGTTGCTTTAGTGAAAGAGACAGACGATAGTATCAGCAAGAATATGGAGAAATTAAAACCTGTGTGTACTGAGGAGAATACAAAATGGTGCCACTGCTTTAGAAAATAATTTATAGTTCTTATAGTTACACACAGTTAGTTACCATGACCCAGCAATTGATTCTAACATGTAATACCCATTGAAAACATTTCTACAGAACTTGTATAAGAATATTTATAACAGCATTATTAATTATAGAAAAAAGTAGAAACAGTCCATGTGATTATATGAATGGATAAAATGTCTTGTCCATTCAAAGAACTATCAGTTGATCCTGATATACGATGTTGGAGCCTTGAAAATTTACAAAGTATAATAGGCTAACATAAATGACATACTAGTGAAAGATTCCACTTATATGGACTACCTAGACTAGGAAGATGCTTGCAGATAGAAAGTAGATGAGTAGTCTCAGTGGTGGGTGGGTCTGATGGGCATCAGCTGATATAACAGGGACAGGGCTCCTCCTCTCAGCGATGAAATTACTGTGGAATTAGAAAACAGTTGTAGTTATGAAACAGAATTTATTTTAGAACACCTAATTGTATACTTCGGGACTGGTGAGATGGTGCACTGACCTGATGACCTGAGTGTGACCTTCAGGATCTATACGGTGAAAGGAGAACCAACTCCTGCAAGTTACCCTCTGCTCTCTACATTCATTCTGTAGCATGCCGGCTCCCACCCCCAAATAAATAACTACCGTGATATTTTTATAGCAAATTTTATGTTATTTTTAAAAATTGTATCTGACTTAAAAACAGAACCAATCTTTGAAAGCGCCTTGTGTTGGTGTGCATCAGGTTTCAACCCCTCAGAGACCAAGATTCGCACTCCTGATGGAAAAGTGTGGCCGGAGGCGGAATTTCTGAGCAGAGAGCTGTACCGAGACTTAGCACTTCAGTTCACAGGTGAGAGCAGAGCTTCCTGTGTCTTGCTCATTTATAATGCATGCCATAACATACACTATTACACATGAGACTCTCACCAACCTCGAGATGCTACCCCTTCCTAAGTGTGTTCTAAACTAACTAGAGTAGTAATGGTTTAAGTGATGAGACCCTCTTGGCCTCTTAGCTCTCCTCCAGGGGTAAAATTAGGCTCCATGGCTCATGATACAGAAACTATGCCATTTTTAAAGCTTGGGGACTTTTAAAGTCAGGACATACTGATTTTATGGAAACAGAGTTAGTTGTGGTTTGCTTCTCTTAGGCCTCAAATATCTTTCAACTGGCCAGTAATTTCAGTCAGCATTTGCAGAAGTCAAAGTGTTACAGGAGGGGAATGCATGTGAGAGAATTATAACCAGGAGGAGCCTGTGGAAGGCCTGAAGAACTAGGACAATGAAAAGAGTAATGTTCCCACCTCCTGCTCATCTAGTAAGGCGCTGAGCGCGGTCCATGTGGTGCTCAGTCTTGTGTTTGCTTTTTAAACAGTTGAGTAATTGAAAGCTGAAAGAATAATTTTTCCAGGATTGCATAAAGAATTAAAATCAAGAAAAATCAAAATCAACTGTTCAATTCCTAAACCTGACAGCAGCTAAGATTTTGCTAATCTTTTTCTTTCTTTTTTTTTCTTTTGTGGCATTAAATTCCATCTTTATTTTATTAAATTCTGTATGTAGGATACTCTTCTCATGTGGAAAGAAAGTGTCATGTAGTAATTATGAAAGCATATTTTAGAATTGGCTTAAAAGTTCATGTTCTGGCTTTGCTGGTCATTAGCTGTATGTATGAGGCTGTTACATAACCTTTTATCCTTGGTTTCCTCATCTCAGAAGTGACAGCAACTACACATCACAGGACAGTGTCATACCTGATAGGGAGTATTATGTCAGGGACTGTTTCAAAAGTTATTCTGTTACACTCTGCCTTCCTCTTTTTATGGTGGGTAAACTCTGTATTCTTAACCTCTACCTGTGTTTTGGTTATATTCGTGTGTGTATGTGTGTGTGTGTGCGCGCGCGCGCACGTGTGTAAGTATATTATTTCATCTTGCTTTCATGCTTCTGTATCAAGCTTTCCTTCTCTGTCTAGTCATACCCAATAACACACTGTTAAACACGTTTGTCACAGCATTCATCATGGTAGAATACCCTCTTTGGGTGCTCTCTCCAGTGTTCCCCTTCTGTTTAGATCAAAACTGCAAAGTGTTTCCTTATGCTAATGGTCTCTGATTTGTATTCTCCCCTTATGTTTGTTTGTTTTTTGTTTGTTTGGGGTTTTTCTGGTATCAAGATCATTAATGAAATTCACTTTATATATACAGTGTCTAATCTCCATTTGTCATGCTGATTGTTCAGCAACAATTGATACTGTTAACCACTCCTTCCTTGAAAGTCTTTAGTCAGCTTTCTAGAAGCATTGTTTTTTCTCTTAAATCTACCTGTTCCTTATTCTTTTCTTCTTCCTCCTCTACCCTGTCATCTTCCCTCTCTTCTTGCTTATTTATCCAAAAAGACCTACTAGGAAAACATATGTATTCTTAACACCTGAAATAGTTCTCATGCAAATATTCCTGTATCTTTGTATCTAGTTGAGACCTCCTCCCTGAATTCAAACTCTTATTAACCTGTCAACTATACATCTCCCATAAATGTGTTATAGATATCTAAGGCTTACTGTCTAAAATGGAGATTATTCAATGTGGTGGTGACATATCCCTTAAACTTGCTACTCTAGTTGTCAGTCTGGACCACCCATAACCTAAGTCACCTTTGACCCGGTTTTTCTTTCATATTTTCTATTCTGCTATCTAAGTTATATCTATTTAGTACCAGTTCTTTTTGGTGTTGACGAAGGTGGTACCTTCACCTAAATCAAGGCACCATTGATCTGTGGCTTTAATTCTCCAGTCTTCTCTTTACTGGTCTCCTCACTGCTAACTCTTAATGAGTCAGTTCTCAGCCTAGCTGCCAGAGTAAGCTTGTTAGAGTCTTGTTTAAATTCTGTCACTCCTTTGCTCAGATGTTCTACAGACTTGCCATTTCACTGCTGAGTAAGACAGGATCTCACTTATATCTGTAACCCAGATTCCAGCTGTTCTCTTTGTTCATTGCATTCTCAGCAGAGTCCTTGCTGATTCTTAGATACTGTTTGCTCCTGCTTTAGAGCCTGTTACTCAGACTTCCTCTACTATGCTTATGCTGCAGACCTCCATGTATATTTTAAATTTCATTATTCATACATGTCATTTAGATTAATTTTTTGAACATTGATGGTTAGTATATTTACATTTTGTAAAGTTTTTATGTTGAAAATTTTAGATAAAATAGTAATCTAAGAAAATGTTAACCTGAAATTGCAAACATGCAGTGATTTGAAAGCATGACTGCTAAGCTTCTTCCCATTTCTGGAAATGAGGTGGATTTCTCACAAGTTTTCTTGAAACAACAACAACAAAGAACTGATACCTAACAGTGGATGGTGGTAACCTTTAAACTTTTCTTTAGGAAGACTTGACATTGATAGTTTGTGGGTCATAGAAATAACTTCAGTGAAAGTTTTTCTTTCATAGTTCTAAGATCACCAAAGGATGGTTGAAGCTGAAGTGTGTGGAGCCCTACTTATAGTTTATGCTTCTTATACATACTTGTTATAGTACTTAATTTATAAACTAGGTATAAAAGATGAGCTTGCTGTACATCTTATCAAACCCAGCATACATTTTTTCCCCATGAAGTTGGCAAATGTGACTTTGATTGATTTCACTGGCACACTCTACAGCTTCTTTCTGGTACGACTTCACTGCTAGCATCACTATTCTTGAGCTCTGGAACTTTTAAAAGAGTTTATTCAGTGTTATCACCATGAGATAGTCTAGTAGTGGAGATGGCTATTTGTGTCTAATAAGTGGAAAGCCTATAGGTATGGACACTCTAGACAGGTATGACCCAGTCTGGCTGTCTGGAGCTAGACAGCAAAAGATACCATCATGCTAATCAGAATGACGCACAATTTATAACATGAATTGTTTATGTCTGGAAATTTCCACCTAATGTTTTCAGATTTCAGTTGACCTTGGGTAACTGAAGCTGCAGAAATAGGGTGCTGTTGTACCCCTGTTTCTTCACTGAGGAATGTAGGTGCTGAATGGGAGTCCTAATGGTGGCTGTCCATATTTGTGTTTCAGATGATACCTCTGTAAAAGAGAAGCCTGTTGAAAAAAGTAAAGAGAAGAAAGTGGTTAAACCAGTACGAAAAATTCAAAAAGCGACACAGTTGTCAAATCCAGAATGCAAAACAGGTTGGTTTTCAGTATTTTGTTCAGTTTAAAGTTGGATATTATAGAAATGGAATCTATATGGATATAAATATGCATATAGATCCAGATGTTCTCATTGTTAGGAATTTGTGAAAATTCAGTCTATTATATATGTCATTATTATTATTATATGCAAGTATTTTGTTGAGGTATAGTTGATAGCATTAACTGTCCATATTTAGAATATACAATTTGAAAGGTTTCTTTTATGTATACATCTATAATACATTGTTCATTGTATTAATACTCTTGTGAAAACATTCCTGACAGAGCCTGCTAAAGGAAGCAAGGCTTTTGTGGCTCATAGTTTTGGGGTGCAGTTAACAGTGGTCAGAAAGGCAGTGGTGGGAACAATGGTGGATGGCCATATTTTATTCTCAGTCAGGAAACAGAGAGAGAGGATAGCTGCAGCTTACCTCACCTTCTCCTTTCCATTCAATCTGGGACCCTCACCTCATAGAATAGTGACATCCACGTTTAAGATAGGTGGATCCTATCCATCTCTTCCTCTGCTAAACCATTCTGGAAACACCCTTATAGCATAATATTATAGGTGTGTTTCCATGGTGGTTATAAATCTTATTTAGTTTATAATAAAGATTAATTTCAGACTCATTGTGTATTCAAGATAGTAAATGTGTCACCTCAAATTTTTTTCTAGTATTTTTAATACAAACACATCAAATTAAAATAGTGAATTTTTTCTATGAGTAATCGTTTTCTGTAAGATCATGATAGCCTTCAAGATAGATCAGAATGCCAGTCTTCTTGCCAGTAGTGGTTAAACCAAACAAAGAATAGATCAAATTAGGAAAACAAGAGATTTCTGCTTCCATAGTGACTAACTTGATTGATTTTGCTTGACTTTATATTGTAGCTAACATTATTTCTTTGGCACATGAGTCAGTTTTAGTGTGATTCAGTTTCCTCATATGTAAAAAGATCAATCAGTAGTATTTGTCTTACAGGATTATTGTGAGAGCTAAAAGCATGAATATTAGAAAAACACTTCAGGATAGTACTTCTTACATGACATGAGTTCCAGTTCTTAGCTATCCTGAAGTGTCATATTCAGCAAGTAACTTTTGGCCATGAAAGACTAGAGACAGTTTGAGAGCTTGTCACCTTGAATTTCAGGAGACTCTGAATCAATACATTCACTCATTGTCCAGATGTTTGTCAGCGGTGGCTATATGTGTGGCAGTATAGTGGTTAGCAAGACAGAAAGTTCCTGAGAGGTACAGTTAGAAACAGTGTGACAGCATAGTAAGAGACCATAGGGTCTCTGGGAAGCAGCAAGTGATGAGGTGCTCTGTTCTGACCACACCCTTGTCCTTCTGGTTCTGCTTGTCATTAGAATGATAGCACATTTTGTGATAACTTCAGATACAGTAATAGAGTGATACTAGTTCTGTACAAATTAAACTTGTTTTTACAAGAATATAGTTATTTCAGTGGTAATTAAATTAAGTATAAAAACATTTTACATAGTTGGTAGTAGCACACATCTTTAATCTCAGTATTCAGTGGCAGAGGCAAGTGGATCTCTGTAAGTTTAAGGCCAGCCTAGTCTACAGAGCAAGTTCCAGGACAGCTGATACTACACAGTAAAACATTGTCTCACAACCACCTCCCATCACAACCTCCAAAACCAAAAATATAATTTATTGTATTACATTTAGAGAAGAGTAAATAAAAAGAAAGAGTGATGGTAAATAGTCCTATCAGAGGCCTCCTTTGGAATGAAGTACAAAGGTTGTGTTTACCCAGATAGATAGTCTGCTTCATTTGTGTGTACTTGGCCATTAACCTAGACTAAATAGCATTAACAGTGCTGAAACTATACTAATAATTTTCTAGTGAGAGTCATCTTCAATACTTGAAGAGACTATTTTAGAAGGCCACAATTTAGTTTTTTATTTTATGTATCTGGATATTTTGCCTACATGTGTGGCTATGTACCACATGCAATGCCTAGTGCCCTCAGAGACCAGAAGAGGGCATCAGATCCCTTGAAATTGGAGTTACAGACTGTTGGGAGCTGCCCTGTGGGTGCAGGGAATCAAGCCTGGGTCCTCTAGAAGAGCAACCAGTGCTCTCTAATTGCTGAGCCATCTCTTCAACCCCTCCCTCACAGTACTTTGAAAAAACCAACATTTATAAATGACTACCCACGAGTTCATGTTTGTTTAGTTTTGAGTCTAAAATTTAAAGTATAAGGAACTCTCTTCTGTCATTTATGAAAATAAAGTTTCTTATATATTGAGCAATAAGCTTAGAACCCTTTCAATACTTTAGACCCGTTGTTTATATGTTAATATCAAAGTACAAAGGCATTTCTAAAGTAAACAGGGGCTGACTCAGTAGGTAAAAGGGATTGCTGTGCAAGGGCGGGGACCTGAATTTGAATTCCTAGAACCTGCATAAAAGCCAGATGGACAACATCAGTACCTGTAATCCCAGTGCTCCTGTGGGATAAGAGGTGGACACAGCACTTGGAAGCTCCTGGTCCAACTGGCCTGGCATATGCCAAGAAAACCTGAAATACACAGAAAACACACTCATGTGCGCCCACACACACACACACGTATGCACACACATACATACACATGTATACACACCTACATGTGTATGTACATGCATACACACATGTTTAAACAGAACATATTTATAAAAGCTTATAGTTAATATATTTATTAGACTTATATTTCCATTTAGACTATTAAATTATAGCTTCTTTAAAAGGAACTATTAATAGAATGTCTTTCATATAAAAGTAGGACAGCATGCTAGAAAAGTGGAAAAATACGAGAAAACAAAACTATTCTTTTTTTTTTAAAGGTTTATTTATTTATATGAGTATACTGTTGCTGTCTTCAGACACACAGAAGAGGGCATCAGATCCCATTACAGATGGTTGTGAGCCACCATGTGGTTGCTGGGAATTGAACCCAGGACCTCTGGAAGACCAGTCAGTGCTTTAACCACTGAGCCATCTCCCCAGCCCCTAAAACTATTCATTTTGATACAAACAAAAAGTACTAGTATTAGTTTGAGTATTTCTAAATAGTATTTAAATTTTTTATATTTGTTTATTGTATCTATATATTAATTTTAAAGTCATATTAGTATAATTTTAGTCATTGCATACCTAAAAATTCTTTGTACATATATAATTTTTATCATGTTTTTAACTTTTAAAATTTGTTCACTGAAGAAGGGTCTCACTTTGTAGCTTTCATTAACTAGAAACTTGCTATGTAGACCAAGTTTCAGCTCACAGAGGCTCTCCTGCCTCTGCCTCTGCCTCCTGAGCACTGGGATTAAATTTTATCCCTATATTTGTTTAGAAAACAAGTCTTAGCTAGTAACTTGAAATTTCAAGAATCATTGTGGTAGGAGAGAACTGGGCTGACTGTCCCACATTGTTCTCTGACTGCCCCATGTGTGCTGTGGCACACTCTCCCCACCCCCCAAAAATGAATAGAATTTTTTAAAAAAAGATTTGAACAAACTGTTAACTAATTTTGATGGCTTAGAGTTAAAAATAAAATTAAAAAATTTTTATTTTAATTTTATTTATGTGTATGGGCATGTCTACATGTATGTTTGTGTATTGTATGTGCACATTAATGCTCACAGAGGACAAAGAAGGGGTTAAACCTCTTGGAGCTAGAGCTGAAGATGGTTGTGAGCCCCTGGGAGGGTGCTGGAAATCAAACCCAGGTCCTCTGGAAGAGCAGCCAGTGCTCTTGACTGCTAAACCATCTCTGGCCCCTAAAAATATACTTTAAATGACAGACCTTTTGAGCTTAGCAGAAGATAAATGTAAAGTTAATTATAGAACCTATATTACTGTGTAAATATACTTCTTAGAGATAAAGTTTTAAATTCAGTGCAATATATATTTTAGGTAGTAGTCGTTTGATAAGTACATCTTCTTGGCGAGATGGACAAAAATTAGTAAAGAAGATTCTGGGACCTGCACCCAAGATGGAGCAGAAACAGCGAAGACCCACATCGAGTGACAGAAGTGGAAGAGAAAGACTGGCTAAATTTGGTGAGAGGATATAGTTAAAACTGTTTAAAGATTGCCTGCTTATATACTCAGATGATACAAATGTGCTGGAGAATACTTAAGATTTTGCTTTAAAATTCTTCCTGTAGCTCAAAAAAGCAGAAATGTTCTGTTGAACTTGGAGAGGTCTAGAGAAAAGTTATTTTTCTCAGAGGCGTAGTCAGTCATAGCTAAATTTGTTTTATGACCCAGGACTCTTTTAAATTTGACTTTCAGATCCTTTTCTTTCTTATTTAAGCACATTGACTGCTATTTATAGGTGTGAGGGTGTTTGAGGAGAGTTTCCAGTGGATAAAGTGCGTGTTGTGCAAGCGTGGGGACCAGAGTTCAGATCCCCAGTGCCCACCTGTAAGTCCTGCCTCTAGGGGTTTCCTAGAAGAAGCTGGCTAGCAGGTCTAGCTGTATAAGTAAGCTCTGAGTATGTGTCTCTATGACTGAGAGACCCCCACCTCAGTGAATGAGACGGAAGAGCGATCATTTCTGACATCAACCCCTGGCTTTCACATGCACACACCTCCCTCCTAATGCAGGCATCTTCACATACATATATGCCCACACATACAAGATACACAACACACACACACACACACACGCACGCACACACACGGAAAAGGAAAAATTAACTAGTTATGTTTTCCATAAACACTAACTTTGAGAAATGAAATATAAAATCTCCACAGCCAGTTTTCTTTTTCAGCAGTGAAATTGTCCCCCAGTTAATTTAGTTCTAGGAGTCCATTAAGTAAGAAATGAAATCAACTCTGATTTAATATATTGCAGTCAATATTGTATTTCTTTTTATTTCTTTCATCTTGCAAGTGAACTCATGCATTTTATCAGTCTAAAATTAAGCCTTGTCAGCAAATAGTAGATGATGAAATGGTTGTTTGCATATATAATATGTTTATTGTGCTCTGACATTCATTAGAGAATCACAGAGACAGCTGTTAGCCAGCAGATAGTGTTTTCTAGGAAGTAGGCAGTTCTTTAATATATAGGACTTCACACCATAAACCACAATCCCTGGCTACTTGAAAGAACATATTTATCCTAATGGAAGGGATATTCTTATGCTTCTCACTGAGGATTTTTCTTTTTCTCTTAAAAATGGGTAAAATACCAAATAGTCTTTTAAAATATTTTTGAGATTTGTTTTATAGATATTACTAAGGTGTGATATGTAGGTGGTCAGTTTTAATCTTTTTATGTCAATAGAAATCTAAACTTTCAGAAATTCTCTGGTAAACTCATCTAAATATGTTGCCATTTAATTGCAAAATGAGTCAGTATTGTATGAAACTTTTAGAGAAAAAAAATCCAGTATTTTCAGTGCCTTTATTGTTGTGTTCGGTATAGCTATTTTTTTTTTTAAAGAAAACATCATTATTTGACTTGTATGAATGTTTGGCCTGCGTATGTGTCTATACACATGTGTGCCTTATCGCAGAAATGGATGTCGGATCACCTGAAACTGTAGTTACAGACAGTTGGGAGCTGCCATGTGTGTGCTGAGACTCAAACCCCAGTCTTCTGGAAGGGCAGATATTTCTCTTAGCCACTGAGCCTTCTCTCCAGAACCAAGTTTGATCTTTTTCAAAGCACTTAAAATTATGCCTTTCCTAAAGATTTCTAAGGAGATTTCCTGGTTAGATTTTGTTGTAGCTTGAAGTCAGAGTCTTAGAGAGTCCAGGCTGGCCTCAAACTTACTGTGTAGCCAAGGAAATTTATGAACTTCTGATTCTCCTGTCTCTGCCTCCCAAGTGTTGTGATTATATTTGCCTGACACCATACCTGGATCTCTCTTCCTCTTCTCCTTCTTCCTCCTCCTCTTCCTCTTCTTCTTCTTCCTCTTCTTCCTCCTCTTCCTTCTCCTCCTCCTCTTCCTCTTCTTCCTCCTCTCCTTCTTCCATCTCTTCCTCTTCTTCAATTCAGATGGTTTCTAAAAAGTTGATGTTTTAAAAAAAAACTTTTTGAAGAGGGAAAAAATAAATATGCACATGTAAGATAAATGGTAATGTTACATATTCCTATCAATTATAATATGTCTTTTTTGAAGAAATACTAAAAGATGTGTTATAAAAAGAGTATAGTTTGTATGAAGCTCTTCCTGATATAAATGGGAATTTACCCTTACAACATTCTTTGGACTGTTATAGGATATTTGAATCCATGTTTAAAGAAAAATTCCTTAATTTTCTTATTCATGCAGTAACTCTTAGGAATGAATCTGGAGTCTCTATAACTAATAGTCTGTGTGTTGCAGGGGGCCATATTGGAAGAGCAGAATCAGACCCCAAGTTGGATGTTTCACATAAACAGCTTCCACGAAGCTCAGAGCGTTCAAGAAGCAGAGCTTGGTCTGAAAATACGATAGTGAAATCAGCTCTGTCCCTTCCAGACAATAAGCAGGAGGAAAATGCTGCCTTAAACAAGGATTTTCTGCCTGTTGAAATTCGTGGGATTCTTGATGACTTACAGCTAGATTCTTCGGCTCAAACTGTGAGGCAAGAGGTTGGAGAAGTACAGAATCAGAAGTCATCGGCCCCTGTACAAGCTTCCAGGAGTCACAGCCCTGTGAAAAGAAAGCCTGACAAAATAACAGCGAGTGAGGATCCACCTGTGATTTCCAAGAAGCGCCACTATGACACAGATGAGGTGCGACAGTACATTGTTAGACAGCAGGAGGAGAGGAGGAGGAGGCAACATGAAGAGAAGAAGGCTCAGAAGGAGGCTACGGAGCAGAAGAACAAACGATTACAGGAGCTCTACCGGAGACAGAGAGAAGCCTTCTCTAAAGCAAAACCTGTGCCTCCTTCTGATCCATCGGCCTCTAGACGGCTACAGGAAACTTACTCCAAATTGCTACTGGAAAAGACTTTGCTTGAAGAGCCAGCCCGTCAGCATGTTACACAGGAAACACAGGTACTGGTAGTTAGGGGAACACGAAGTGGGATAATTTCTGGTGAGGAAAAGCTTGCTTCCTGTACAGAACTGTTGAAAAATTATCCTACCTAGGACTTAGACATGCTCAGATAGTTACAAACAACAACCAAGACCTTTCATAAAATTTATTGCATGCATGCCAATGCAGAAAGTTAAAGCTGAAGAGCTTACAATATTGGTCACCATTGATCTCTTCTGTCCTGCTGTATTTCTGCTTTGTTTTTATTGTAGTAGTGAGCAGGAGAGCTAGTACATAGTACACCACCAAATTACTAATGAAGTAGCTAGTTTTGGGTTTAGTATTTAAGTGAGGACATACTCGTGTGCTAATGTTTTTAAGACTGATAATTGAGTGTGTCTCAGGTATTACAACTGTTTCAAAAGCTTTACTTACAGGTTTAAACATCAATAAATACAGCCTCAAAAGGGTTATTTATATTCTTTTTCTTATGAGATGAAAAAAACTGAGGTTTATAAAGGATACTATTTTATCCGTTTATTTTTTGTTTGTTGTTGTGATAAAATACACTGACAAAAGCAATGTAAGGGAGAAAGTATTTTTTCTGGCTTTTACTTTAAGGGAATAGTTTATCATAAGGGGAAATCAAGGTGCCAGGAGCTTGAAGCAGCTGGTCACATCACATTCATAATCAGGAAGCAAACAGTAATGAACACATGCTGCAGCTAAGGTGGTTTTCTTCATTTAAGTAGACCAGGGTTCTACTTAGGGAATGGTGCTACCCACAGTGGACAGGTCTTTACACCTCATTTAACACAGTCAAGATGCCTGGAGGACCATGTCCCAGATGATTCTAAATTCTGTTAACTTAACAGCTATTACCAACAATTGCAATGTCCTTGTTAGATTTTTTAGATGAGGTTTTGCTGTTAATTGTAGTGGTTGTTTTTATTTGATTTTCTGTTGTGCCAGTATCAAACCCACAACCTGATATAAGTAAACACTGATGTAATGGTTGTTTTAAAGGCGAACTAAATATAAAGTGATTTTACTTGAGAGAGGAAAACCTCTCTTTTATGACCTTTTTAAGTTAAAGGGACTTGATAAGTTTCTTATGTGCTACTTGAAGACATCTTTGTGATCAGAATCAGATAAATTTGATGCTCTTTTCTCTTAGACCAGACCTGGGTATCAACCATCTGGAGAATCTGATAAAGAAAACAAAATACAGGAACGTCCCCCAAGTGCGTCTTCCAGTAGTGACCTGTCCCTGTCAGAACCTCCACAACCTCTTGCAAGGTAAAAAAAAAAATAAATAAATAAATAAATAAATAAAATAAAATAAAATAAAATAAAATAAAATGAGAGAATGAAAGATGACCAAGGTTCTTTCTTTTTATGAGAAGACATTTCACATTTGGTGAATATCTTCAACTAATACCTGAACATGGTGTACAGATGTACTCACCATGCTCCACGCTGGTTTTTCCTGTCCTTTAATCCAGGTCCAATGTTAATTTCTTATGCAGGTGGTAGCACTCTTGCTCTGTCTAAGCCTAACATAAAGTTTTTGGGTGGGTAAGTCACAGTGAAAGATACGATGGTTCTAAACTATACTTTGTAATAGTAACCATTAGGAGAAGAAAAAAGATTTGAAACTCTTTGAGAATATACAGATACAAGTCAAATCTCTTTCCAATTTGGAGTTAACAAACACAGTCCTTTTTTATCCTAAAGGGCAATAACAATGGTAACATTTACGTTGTTTTCTACATTTATTTATTTTATGTTTATGAGTGTTTTGCCTGCATGTATGTACATACACCATGTATATGCCTTGTACCCATGGAGGTCAGAAGAAAGTAAAGAATCCTTGGAACTGGAGTTACTGATGGTTGTGAGTCACTGTGTGGGTATTGGAGTCAAACCTGAGTCCTACAAGAGCAGGAAGTGCCTTTATTTTTCCTTTATAAAGATTTTTTAATTTCAATTACACATGTATATGTGTGGATATGTGCCTGCCACTGCAGGTGTATGCAGAGATGTCAGTCTCCTATAAGCTGCCTGATATGGACACTGAGAATTGAACCTGGATCCTTTGGAAAAGCAGCAAGTACTTTTAACCTCAGAGCCATCTCTCTAGCCCCGTAGTATTGATGACATTTATTGTTTCTTAGCCTAGAACTGATTGAATCCTTTTAGTAAAAAACATTGTTTGGGTATTCGTATGATTTTATTTGCTTTGTAATACCAGCATGAAGCCCAGTGTCTTGTGCCTTTTAGGCAAGTGATTTGTCACACAGGCACATCAATAGACCTAAGTGCTGTTGTTATGGTTTCACAGAGGAGATAATTGAAGTCTAGATTTTAATTAAACTTTCTCAAAGTCAAAACATTACTTTTGGCATTGGGTTTGCATAGTGACTTTAAAAGCCAGTACTTTTGCCGGGCAGTGGTGGCACACGCCTTTAATCCCAGCACTTGGGAGGCAGAGGCAGGCGGATCTCTGAGTTCAAGTCCAGCCTGGTCTACAGAGTGAGTTCCAGGACAGCCAGGGCTATAAAGAGAAACCCTGTTTCAAAAAAACCAAAAAAAAAAAAAAACCAAAACAAAACCAAAGCAAACAAACAAAAGAACCCAGTACTTTTAACCAGTGTATATACTTACTGCTAATAAGAGAAATGTATAATTTGTTTGATGTCCTAAATATATTTTAAATATAAATCATACATTTTATTTATAATTTAAAAATTTTTATTATGTTCATTTTTATTATGAACGCTTTTGTTTAAATAATACTGTAATCATTGTCAGACCTACTATGCTGTGGTCATGTTGATTTGCCTTTCCCTGAGTTTCTGATTCTAAACATTATGAAACAAACCAAGCACAAGTTTGTTATTACTTTACATTGGTTCCTCTACTTCTTCTTTTCTTTCCTTTCTTTTTCTCCTTTTAAAATTTTAGATTTTTTTTTAAATTTCAAAACTCTACATTTTAGCAAGGAGGTGGTGGCATACTCCTTTAATCCCAGCACTCAGGAGATAGAAGCAAGTAGATCTCTGAGTTCAAGGCCAACCTGGTCTATAGAGCAAGTCAAAAGACCAAACAACCAAAACAAACAAAAAACAAACAAACTAAAGACCAAACAACAACAAGAAGAAAACATGTATATTTTAATAAAGTACTATGTATTGTGCATGTGTGTGGCATATGTAACAGGGCACACATGCTGTGATTGGCCATTACTTTGTATATTCAGTTCCTTCCATCTTTTTATTTGAGTTCTCCAGGCTTGAACGACAGATGCCCTTACCTGCTGAACCATTTGGTGACTTCCAATATTGAGCAGTCTCTCTTAGAGTTCCTATTGCTGTGTAGAGACTTATGGCAACCCTTATAAAGGAAACCGGTTAACTGGAGCTGGCTTACAGTTTCAGAGATTTAGTCTGTTATTGTCACAGTGTAAAGCATGATGGCACACAGAAAAACATGGTGCTGGAGAAGGAACTGAGAGTTCTACATCTAGATCGGCATGCAGTAGGAAGAGAGAGTGACACTGGGCCTGGTTTTAGGATCTGAAACCTCAAAGCTTAACCACAGTGACACACTTCCTCTGACAAGGCCACACCTCCTAATAGCACTACTCCTTAGGAGCCTATGGGGGCCATTTTCATTCAAATCACTACAAAATCTTAACTGTTTCTCTTTTAAGTAATACTATTTTTAAAGGGTTGAATAGAGGTATTGTTCTAAGGAAGCTTGTCTGTAGAGTTTTAAATGGCCATTTGAAAAAATAAGGCCTCACAAAACCACAACTTATACATAGAAAAATGTTAGCAAGGATATAATTGTAAACAAACTACCAAAGATAACAATAGCTTTTTTATTGTTTTTCTCTGAGTAATCTCTCACTCTCAGCCCTTTGCCTTTTTTTTTTTTAATGTATGTATATTATTCTTATAATCCGAGAACCCCTTTACCTTTTTTAAGTGACAGTTTGGACTGGGGACATAGGTCCATAATAGCATACTTGTCTGGTATGGGCAAAGCTCTGGAATCAATTACTAATGCTGTAAAAAAAAGAAAAATAATAATATGGATTACTATATTAACTAACATTGTGCTTTCTGTTATCAGAAGAGACTTGATGGAGCCGACATGGATGCAGCCTGACAGGTTGAGCCCTAGAGGTCATAGTTCTCAAGCACAGCCCCTGGTTGGAACGGCTGAAAATTTACTCTCTCATCTCTTGCATCTTGAGCACGTAGGAATTTTGCACAAGGACTATGAATCTGTTTTACCAGCCAAGAAGAGTCATAATAAGGCTTCAGGACCGTTAACTTTCACACCTCAACCATATCTGACCTCACAAGCTCCTCATCCAGATGCCTTGTTAAAACCTAGTACCAGCCAATATAAGAGTAAACTGGATCGTATTGAAGCCCTGAAAGCAACAGCTGCTTCTCTGTCCAGTAGAATTGAAAGTGAAGCTAAGAAACTAGCTGGGGCCAGCATTAACTATGGGTCAGTGTGGAACACTGAGTGTGATGTGAAGGTAGCACCTCAAGAGAATGGACCTTGGACTAAAGCTATCAGTCCACCTGTGAAAGAGGACATTGAAGATGCGTTCTCCGCCCGGATTCAGAAGATGCTGGGAACCTGTGTATCTCATGCAACTTTTGATGATGAGCTTCCTGGTGTAGGCAGTCTTAGTGAATATAAAAAACTTCCTGAGATGATCAGACCCCAGAGTGCCATATCAAGCTTGAGAATGAAATCCCCTAGTCCTAAGCCAGGAGGGCTGCTGGCACAGTTGTGCAGGAGGCAGACAGATTCTTCTATCTCTGACATACAAGCCTGTTCTCAAGAAAGAGCCAAAAGGTCTCTTTGTTCCAGCATAGACTCAGTCAGTGAAGGGCCTCTTCTTAGTGAAGGAAGTCTCTCTGAGGAAGAAGGACACCGGGATGCAAGACCTCTTTTGAAGGTAGCAGAAATCTTAAAGGAAAAAGAATTCTGTGCTGGAGAGAGAAATTCTTATGAACCCATCAAAGAGTTTCAGAAAGAAGCTGAGAAATTCTTGCCACTTTTTGGGCACATAGGTGGTACACAAAGCAAAGGACCATGGGAAGAACTGGCAAAGGGAAGTCCACACAGCGTCATTAATATTTTTACCAAGTCATATCAGTTATATGGAAAAGGTGAGAAAAATAAAGCCTTATACTATATTTAGACAGTTATTTCATAATTTTCTTTTTATTGTTTTTTTTTTTTTTAAATCCAGGGTGTCTCATAATACTGCAATCTTGTAATCCAGCTTTCCTTTTCTAGGATGAAGTTAATTCCTTCAGGTATATCCCTTTCTATTTTCTCTTTATTATAGGTGAATTCTACCCAACATATAGTAACATAACTTTAGAATTCCTAGGTTGTAGATTTTCACTGTATAAGTGGAGCAAATTATTTGAAACCTGCTTTTTTGTTGTGTGTGCCTGGTGCTAGCAGAGGCCAGAAGAAGGTGTTGAATGCTCTTGGACTGGAGTTTCAGATGATTGTGAGGTGCTTTGTGTGGGCACTTCTATGGAAGAGTGCCACTGGTCTTACCTGCTGAGCCATCACTCCACTCCTTCTTGACATTCTTATTTTTTAATAAGAAAATTGGTTTCATTCTTAAATTCTTGTATTAGATCATTATAATTTTATACCTATATTGAAATATTTGGAGATGAAATATGCATTTGGGATTTGCTTCAAAATAGTCTGTAGGGTCACAGTAGAAGATTGTTTAATTGAACTCGCTTTTTTAAAAAAAATTTTTTAAATTTATTTACATTTCAGATGACATCCCCTTCCCCCATTTCCCTTCCCTAGAAACCCCCATTCCATCCCCCCTCCTCCTTTTTGTTTTCATACCATTTTAATTACCTGCAAGTATTAAGGTCAGTTCTAGGTTGAGGAACTAGCAATACAATAGATGCAAATAGTCAAGGAACAAGTAAGACAGTAAACACAAACAGTCAAAGAACAAGCAAGACAATAAACAAAGTTCTGTGAACACTCCAGTGATCACTGTTTCTAAGGGCTTATCAGGATGACCAAAGTATCTGAGCCTACTTCTCTCTCCTAGCCCAAAGTCATTTTCATGTCTTACTTCCTTGTTCTAGCCTAAGACTTAGATTCCTGTCTGAAATTACTTCTTTGTTCTAGCCTAAGATTTAGATTCCTGCCTGAAATTACTTCTTTGTTCTAGCCTAATGTCAGATTCCTGCCTGAAGCCCACTTCCTTGTCCTTGGCCAATGTCATATTTCTGCCAAATAGCTCATTTCCTTGTCCTTGGCCCATGTCAGATTCTTGCCAAGCAGCCCCAAAAGCTCTCTGCCTCTCCCCCTTTTTAATTTCATAAACAAGATTGAGCCTGTCTTAGGTCGTTCTGACAAGCATGCCTTCCTTACCCATCCTGGAATATGCATTATCAAAGGCAATGCAATTCTGTCATAGTTTGGTAAGGCTCTGTACAGAATTTTACCCGTCCTTGGCTTGCCAGTCTGTTAATTTAATAACTCTGTCTGGGGGTCCATTTTTAGTTTCATGACCATGTACTTTTGCTGCCAACATGTTGATGTTGTTAAAGACAAGCTTTAACACAATGAGCAGGACTAAAAATATTCCCAGGACAAAAAGGGCTAGCATGATCAAGCTATATATGCCATTCTTGAAGCCTGACCAAAATAGAAATACAGACCTTAGGCCATGAGTAATTTTATCAGCAGTATCTGTCGCATCAACGCTCAGCAGAGTAGCATTCTTTAAATTCTAAGCTCACTATGCAAAGTTAAAACATCCAGAGAGATGTTAGAATTATGCCAAATACCCTGCAAGTGTCTTTAAATTTTTTTCCTAATTATAATGACTGCCCCTGTAAATTTTAGAACTAACACAAATCCAATGATATTTGACTTGACACTTAATACGGCTGGCTCCTTTCTCTTAAACTCTGACCCTCCTTCCAATAATTTTAATTGGATTCAAAAAAGAGCATCAATCTGTTGTTCCAAATCCCTATCTAAATCCTCTTGTATATTCAACACATTAGTAACATTTTTTGCTAAATGATTAACAAAAGTCTTAACTTCTTGTGTCAAAGCAATTGAAGAAGCAGTGGTGCTAGCAGTTAATTTAATTAAAGCTGTTATACGAGCAATAATCAAGCCCACTACCCTCTTGCTTCTGCTTAAAGCCTGACTCACTTCTTCCAGTACTTGTAAACTTTTTTTCTGAATATCAAGGTTCTGTAATACTCAGGGCAATAAAACAAAAGCTGATTGATAGATCTCCGTAACAGACATGCTGGGTTTCAACACACTAACACAATTAGAAAGTATACAATCAATGCAACTTACATTAAATACTGTAGAAGACACAAAAGTAATTTTAAGTTGACAATTAAAAGAGCCTTAACAAATATACTAACACTTGTTTGAAATCCAGATCCTGTTCCAACTTTATCTCTTGCTATCATAACATTGTAGAGAACTGCAGCAAACTTCCAAATATGTCTCTGAAAATGTCCAGAAGCAGCCTTCCAAATGAAGACTGTTATTTCCAATATTGGATTGATTTCTAGATCAGTCTGTGATTGAGTCCGAATAACTGGTCACATGTAAGAAAAATACAAGAGTCATTGTAACTTCTCTTTTTGATTCTCTGTTCCACAAGGTTGAGGCAAGGCAGCTTGTGCCATCTGGGGTATAGGTAAGCAAAGGTGGGTTGGAAATATATGTCCAGTACAGCTTCCCAGTCACCATTATCAGGGCACTCAGCAAGCTCACAGGTCAGCATCCTTCTTTGTCCTGACATCAGCATATCTCATCCATTGCTCAGGCAGCCACCATGCTCCTTCAGCATCCTGCAGAAAAAACACAAACATGCCCTCTTCCCCATATTTAATATCGGAATCATGCCTTATGCCAGTAAGTGAATTCTTCTTTTTCACCTATGCATAAATATGCCTGAAACTAGCTTGTTTTTTTTTTAATTAGTTGTTGTTGAAGCTAGTAATGGATACATGAATTATTTATTTTCAATTTTTTCCTAAAAAGAAGTGAAGATAGCCAGACATAGTGGTGCAAGCCTTTAATCTGAGCACTTGGGTGGCAGAGGCAGGAGGATCTCAGAGTTTGAGGCCAGCATGGTCTACAAAGCAAGTTCCAGGACAGCCAAGGCTACATAGAGAAACCCTGTCTTAGAAAAAAAAAAAAAACTATAAAAGCAAATGAAAGTATCATTTGTTTATGTTAATAACATGAAGTTGTAGAATGCTTTGCTTGTAGTTTAAATTTTTTTTGTTTCTAACCATACCTCAATTATTATTATTTTATAGGGTTTGAAGACAGGGGGACATTGGTATCACGGCCTTTGAATGCCACCACAACCCCACTCAGCAGCGTTTCGTATGAAGATGATTTTGTCTCCTCTCCAGGAAGTGGGACACTGACAGAAAAGAAATCAACTCTTGAATCTCAGTAAGAATTTGATAGCAAATATGTATACAAATGAGAGAGCTCTGGTCAGAATTTAAGTCACATCTTAATTGTTGATACATACAAAGGCTGTGTAACAGGCTGATCATGAACTCTGGATCCAGACTATCTGAATTGACTTGTTCAGTTGAGTGCTTGCTTGGTGAAAATAGTCTTACCTGCTTACCTCACAGAGTTGTTACAAATGTTCAGTAAAATACACATTTTTCTCTTTTTTTTGAGATATGGTCTCATGTAGCCAAGGATGAGTTTAAACTCCTGATCCTCCTGCCTCCAATTCTCAAGTGTTCTGGGATTACCTCTGTGTGTTGCCACACCTGGTGAGTGGAACATAGAATACTTAAAACAGGACCTGGTACATAAGAAAGAAAATACAGGTTATAAGTAAGTCTGTGAGTCCCCAATAGAGGATAGCATTGGGAAATGGTCTTCAACCTATTAATATGAGAAATATAAAAAATTGTTTTTGTGGTAAATTGAGGAAAATCAGATATTTAATTTTATGATCCTAGTAATACTGTTTAATCAAGACAACATCTTGACTTTGGTATACAATAAAAATCTAAGCTTTGAAAACATTGATTATAACAGCAGATGATCATTGGGACCTTAGTGTGCAAGACACTGAAAGGGAGGACTGTGCCTGTACAACTCACTGTTGTAATAGCCTGCTGTGGAAAGGGTCATTCTTCTTAGAATACTAGTCTTAGACAGGAAATTGAAGAACAGAAGTTAAATTATACAAAATCACAAAACAAATTTGACTTTCCTAGAGTTTCTTCCCTAAATTTTATTTCCATGTAAATTTATCATTTTCCATATTCAACATCTTTTATATACCCCTAAGAAATTATTAGATAATCTTATAGAAATTAGTTCTGCTAATTTTCTACTAGCTGGAATAGTATGAATATTCATAAAACTATAGGAGGAAAATTGTAGTTTAAATTTTGAGCCTAAAGAAAAGATTAGATTTTTAAATTAAGGTTTTTAAGGATTTAATTAATATCATCAACCAATATGATTTAATGCATTTCACTATAGATGAAAGTAGAATATATTAAGATTATTCTTCTGTATAAGATTATCAGAGGAAAATAATTATGCTGTATAAAAGTGTAAGTTTAAGTATCAGTAGTAATTGAGGCCACAGTTTCCCATTGTCAACATTGTGTTTTTTCTCATACATGTCTGAAACATTTGTTTTTCTCAAGCTAGGGCTTATGTAGCAAAGGTTAGCCTTGAACTTCTGATCCTCCTATTTCCTCCTTCTCAGTTTATGGTGTTCTGTAGACCAAACCCGAGGCTCCATGCGTGCTAGGCAGACACTGCCAACTGAGCTACATCTCCAGGCCGGGAACATTTTATTTGTTTTCACTTAATAAACAACTCATCTCAGATTTTTTTCTCCTGAGTAATAGACTGAGCAACAGAAAACCAAATTTATACTAGTTGTTGGACATATCTTCCACTATTTAGTTTGAGTACCTTTTGTTATAAATTTGTTTTGTTTTTGTCTTTTGTTTTTGACTCAGGAGTGAGCTTTGCTTTGGCATCTGATCTAGGTATTCAAAGCTCCTTTGAAACAGAATTTGTGATTTTTTTCACTTTTGATTTTTTTTTTTTTGTTAACTCATATTACTTTTTCCTGGACAGAATTGATGGTAGCAACTTAGGCATTCAGGAGGACCATTCTAGCAGAAAGTTTGCCTATGACCTTGGCTCTGTGGATGCTACCTCACAGCATTCCTCCGGAGCCCACTCTGCTGTATCAACTCGCTCATCTGCTTCTAAAGGAAAGAAAGGAAAAAAGGAAAAGATGGACTGTAAGTAGAATTCCCCCTGATGGCTTTCTCGCTTCTTCATGGTATTGTGGTAGTGACCTAAAGTTATAGTTTGGTTCTGTAATTAGGAGATAAATTTATTTATAATAATGTAATTAGCTTTCACATTTGTGAAATATCTTTAATATCTTTTTTTGTAAAACATCAAACTTTTTAGTATAAATCTTTTAATACAGACAAGATGCATAATTAAAAATTTCAGAATTACAAATACTCATTCAAGAAATATAAATCAGGGCTAGCAAATTATGGAGATGGCTTAGTGGGTAACAGCAATGGCTGCACAATCCTGACAGCATGAGTTTGATCCCTGTGACCCATATAAACATGAATGAAGAGGACACATAGCCACCTTTGACCTCTGTGTATGTGCTGTGGCACTCTTCTAAGTGTGCAGTTGGCTCTCCCACATGCAGGTAAATAAAACAAAAAATTTAAATGTATAAGTCATCCATAATCCATTTGTTCAGAGGCAACTACTATTATTGTTTTTGATGACTTTTTCAAATATATACATGAAGCCATATCTTTATTTTAAAAAGAAGTAAAAATGATATTGCTTTGCAACTGCTTAAAAAAAACCCAACTTGGTAGTATATCACATCTCTAAGCATCATCACACATAATCTTCAAATTTCCTTCTCTGTAAAGCAGACTGGAGGTCATATGGTGATTTGAAGAGCAAGAGAGACTATTGGAAATGATGTGTGTACCATAGTACTTAGCATAGTAGTTGTACCTTTTGTCACTCAGTAAATCTTTTTGAGTGATTTATATACCTGCCGATGTGTACAGTTATACACAGATCACTATGTGAGCATGTATATATGTCTGTGGAGGTCAGTGTACAACTGTGGGTTTAGTTTTTCCTCACCTTGAGACAGACTGTGAGTACAAGAAGCTCTCTGCCCATGAGCTTCTGAGAGTCTCTTCTTCCATCTTTTGTTTAAGTGCTGGGGTTGCAGATACTTGCTACTAAGCCTGATCTTATGTGGATTTAGGGGATCCCAACTTTCCTGGTTAGGCAGCAAGCACTTTACCAGTAAGTAATCTCTCCAGTCCCATATGTATTCTGTAGACCTATAGGTCGGGAGACATGGAGAACATGCAAACGCTTCTCATGCTCACACAATGGTTTCAAGCTTGTGAGTGATTTTTCTTTTTTTAAGATTTATTTATTACACACACACACACACACACACACACACACACACACACACACACACACACAGAGGCGGTCTTCAGACACACCAGAATAGGACATTGAATCCCATTACAGATGGTTGTGAGCCACCATCTGGTTGCTGGGAATTGAACTCAGGACCTCTGAAAGAGCAGTCAGTGCTCTTAACTGCTGAGCCATCACTCCAGCCTGATTTTTCTTTTGTATGTATTTTTCCTTAAAAAGATAAACTGCTTATTGAATTCTAAAATATGAGGTAGGATAAGAATATGGAAAGAAACTAACTGGTCAGTAGAGGAGATTATATTTAAAAAAAATAATTGCCTGTAATTTCTAATGTAAAGATGATAGTGCTCACAGTTTACAATTTTATTTTGGTAAAATAATACACATATAGCCAGATGTGGTGAGGCATCCCTTTAATCTTAACACTGGGGAAGTAGAGGCAGTCTGATCTCTGTGAGTTTGAGGCCAGACTGGTCTATATAGTGAGTTCCAGGGCAGCCAAGTCTATATAGTGAAGGCCTTGTCTCAGAAAAATCAAAATGACAATAATAATAATGCATAGGCTTTTTCATAAGCCCTTTTCAAAGGCTCCAGGTTTATCAGGCTAGAGAATTAGCTCAGTTGGTAGATAGATGTCCTTGCCTAGAATATACAAAGGCCTGTGTTTGATCCCCACACTACAGACTATGTGGTATGATGGTGCATTCCTGTAATGGCAGTACTCAGGAGGTAGAGACAGGAGTTCATGGTCTTCTTCAGCTGCATAGTAAAGCGAGGCCAGCATGGGCTACATGAGCTACCATCTCTAAAACAAAACAAGTCATTTCAATCATGTTCAAGTTCAGTGACATTAAGTCCACATTTGTATCATCAAGACCGTCACTACCGCCATCTCCACTCTCCCCTCCTCAGCTGCTGACAGCCACTGCTTCTATAAATTTGGCTGGTCTCTACTTCACACAGGTAGAAGAGTGGACTCTGGAATTACAGACATACATGTGCCTAATGGCTGTTTTCTTAAGTGGAGGCAGAAAAATGAACTACTTCATTTTAGATATAAAAAATTGGTTTTAAATGTAAATTAAATTTAAATACTCTGATCTGTAATTTATTTTACTGAAAAAATTTTATCAGCTATCCCAGTAAGTCTAATGTTGGAAATTTGCTTACAAAAATGACCTTTACAGGGTTGGATTCATTCACTGGAAATGCTCAGAACACATTTACTGATGAGGAAAAAGTCCAATCAGACTCAGAGCGTGGCTCCCATCCAGGAAGGAAACTTGGGGCTAGCAACAAACTTGGAATTAGAGACCATGAGCAGACTCTGGATGCTGAGAGCACATTGGAGGAACTTTCTGGGCATTCTGTAAGGTAAAGCACATATTCTTTATGCTGACATTTGTATGTAATGGAAGTTAAATATATTGTTGTTCAGTGAATTTGGTAAATTTGAGCTTGGCAGTTCACTGTGTACATGTTTGAGCTGGTATAGGTTGTTTACTTTCTGAAGGACACTGTAACAGTTGACAGCTGTATACTTTGTTTTAGCATGTGGCTATTCCTCATTGCAACTGTTTTTTAAAGACATCTCTAGTAATTATTTGCTTCAAGCACAAGCCCTTTTTCTCTCCTGACATCATTGTTATGTTGTTCTTGGCTCATTCTTTTGTCTAAGCCTTTCTTGGGGTTCATGAGGTAGGTGAGCTACCCCACAGAGAAATGCTTGACCTAGTCCTACTGGAGTGTCTCCATTGGAGCACCACAGAGCACCTCATTTCTACAAATTGTGTTCCTCAACTCTGTTCTTCCACTCTAAACACAACTACTCAGTATCCCGTTCATTTCATTGTTGAAATTATTTCTTCCTCTAAGTAGTTTTGTCCTGTCTAGTTAAGACTACTCAAACATTCTCTGAAGTATCACTCTTACACTGACCATGGAATTTGTGTACCTGTATTTTTCATTCTTTTAAAAATGCTTTAAAGTTGTGTGTGGGTGTGTGATGTGTGTGTGTTTGTGTGTCTGTGATATGTGTGTGTGTGTGATGTGTGTGATGTGTTTGTGTGTGTGTGATGTGTGTGGTGTGTGTGTGTGATGTGTGTGTGTGATGTGTGTGTGGTGTATGTGAGTGTGTGTGTGATGTGTTTGTGTGTGTGTGATGTGTGTGTGGTGTGTGTGTGTTATATGTGTGTGTGGTGTGTGTGTGTGATGTATGTGTGGTGTGTGTGTGTGATGTGTGTGTGGTGTGTGTGTGATGTGTGTATGATGTGTGTGAGTGTGTATGTGTGTGGTGTGTGTGAGTGTGTGTGTGATGTGTTTGTATTTGTGTGTGTGTGATCTTTGTGTGGTGTGTGTGTGTGTGGTGTGTGTGTGTGGTATGTGTGTGTGATGTGTGTGTGGTGTGTGTGTGTGTGATGTGTGTGTATGGTGTGTGTGTGATATGTGTGTGTGGTGTGTGTGAGTGTGGACATTTGTGGTTTACTGTCCATATGTGGAGGTGAGAGGACACTTTGAGGAGGTGTCAGTTCTCTCCTTCCTCTCTGTTGAGACCGTCTCTCTTCTTGTTTGTACCATGCTGGTTCTGTTACAACATTGAACTCCCAAGCTGTTGTCCTTTGAGCTTCCAGTGATTCTCCAGTCTCTGCCTTCCATCTCACAATAGGAGTGCCATGCCACTTCAACCAGCAGGGGTTTTTTATTTATATTCCAGCCATTGCCCCCATCTTGGTCCCTCCTCCCACAGTTCCTCATCCCATTCCTCCTCCCTCTTGCCTCCAAGAAGATGCTCCTCCCTCATCAAACCTCTCCCTTCCCTGGGGCTTCAAGTCATTCAAGGATCAGACGCGTCTTCTCCCACTGAGGCCAGACCAGGCAGTCCTCTGTTGTATATGTGCCAGGGTCCTTGGACCAGCCTGTGTATGCTGCCTGATCAGTGGCTCAGTCTCTGGGAGCTCACTGGGGTCTGGGTTAGTTGAATCTGCTGGTCTTCCTATGGGGCTGCCCTTCCCTTCAGCTTCTTCAATCCTTCCCCTAATTCAACCATAGGGGTCCCTGACTTCAGTTCAATGGTTGGGTATAAGTATCTGCATCTGTCTCAGTCAGCTGCTGGTAGGGCCTCTCAGAGGGCCAGAATCCTGTCTGTAAGCACATCATAGTATCAGTAATAGTGTCAGGTCTTGGTGCTTCCTCACCCCTCTATGAGATGGATCCCAAGTTGGGCTGGTCATTGGACCACGTTTCCTTCAGTCTCTTTTTCATTTTTGTTCTTGCAGTTCTTTTAGACAGGAACAAGTCTGGATCAGAAATTTTAACTGTGGATTGGAAACCCTGTCCCTCCACTTGAAGTCCTGTCTATCTACTGGAGGTAGACTCTCCCCATTGTTGCCATTTTGACTAAGGTCACCCCTAATGAGTCCTGAGAGTCTCTCACCTCCCGGTCTCTTGTACTTTCTAGAGGGTCCCTCCATCTCCCCCCCACCCCCCGCCCGAGGCTGCAAATATAAATTCATCTTGTGAAACCATACAGTGAGTTACAGAGTCCTTTATTTTGTCTAATGTGGTAGAATTCAAAATGAGAATTCATTTTAGGTACTATAAATCAAATCGACTATAGTCTCCTATACATTGTTTTGCTTTCAATGGCTCAATTATGGTCAACTGTCATTGTAAAATATTATGTAGAAAATTGTAGAAATAAATGACTTCTTTCCTTAAAGTAATATTGTTCTAAGTAATTGCATAGGATTCAGGCCTGTCTTCCATTTGACTCATCTCTTTGAGCATCTCTTTCTCTTTCTGTGTTTCTTATCTCTCTCTGTGTTTGAGTTTAATTAAACTTTTTTAAAATTTAATAATGGATTTCAATCTAAGGATAGTAACAGTGCTAATTTGTATATGCTAAAAAGACCTTATAAAGTGCTTCCTTTAAGTGAAAGGTAAAAAAACAAAACAAAAAAAAGGAATGGAAAAGATTGTATGCTGAAGTTATGTAGCAAAGAGCTACAGTGAGAAATGCAATTTATTTCTGAAGTTATGGAGATGGTAAAAGAATGTCACAATAGTTTTACTGCAGCACCTCAGACGTAACGTTCACAGCCACACTGGGTGGCAAGTAACAGGCTAAGATGAGAAAGTGAAGCTGGAGAGATGACTCAGCGTGTTAGAGCTCTCAGTGCTCTTCCAGAGGATCCGGGGTGGTTCTTAGCACCCACATTGTTGTTCTCAACCACTGTAACTCCAGTTCTAGGGAATCCAGTGCCCCCTTTTGGTCACCTCAGCCTCCTGCACCAAGTCCTACAGAAATGTACACTCAGGTACACATATATACACATAAAACAAATATTTTTTAATGTACAGGAAAGGCATTAAACATGTATGTGTGTAAATAGTGTGTATCAGGTTTTGGTACTACCTAAGGTTTCAGGTATCTATTGGAGGTACTAAGAACATATCCCTCTGTGTGTGGAGGGGCACTACTGTTACATTCTATTTTTCTTCAGATATTCAAGGTAGGCATAATTTTTGTTTGCCTTTAAAATCCATCACATTTTTTTTCAGAAGTTAAAAGTAAACCTATTTTAATATATTAAAAATGTCTTAATTGCACCAGGTGTGGTGGCCAACACCTTTGATCCCAGTGCTCAGGAGACAGAGGCAGGTGGATCTCTGAGTTCCAGGCCACCCTGGTCTGCAAATTGAGTTACAGGACAGCCAAGGCTACACACACACACACACACACACACACACACACACACAAAGTGTTAATTGTGCTAAATACTTTGTAGGGAATCTCTTATTTATCAAGCAGATGTCCAATACAAGTATACATGAATGAATTGTATTTTGTGTGGTGTTAAATACCTTAAGAGTTGTTACAGTCAGTTATGTGAAGTTACATAAGAAAAGCTCAGACAGTGTTAAAAAATTTGGTATGTATAGGTAGACATATATTAAGTATTTGGAGATGACAGTATGAAAATAACTTTTTGCTATAACCTTTGGTTTAACAGAGAAAATGAACATGGCTTTAAAGAAACATAAACACAAAATGGTATTTTACTTGAGACACGTTTTAATATTTGTTTCTAAAATTCAGTTATATTTTTATTAGTGTATAATGGCTGTCTTAAGTTTTGCTTCATAACGGAATGAATGAACTGTGGTGTATGTGACTTGTTCGGTGCTGATTTAGTTAAAAGCTACTTCACTATTTAATTTAAGGGCAGTTTACCTAGCTTGTTCAACACTGTGGATCTAGCAACTAGAGACGTGTTCATGCAGTCCAGTCGAGCAGTGACTGTTGAGTGAGTGACTGCCTCCATCATAACTAGTATTGGTAAAGCTAATTCATGTCGGTAAAGAAAACATGTTTGTTATTCTTACTGTTTGGCTGCTTCTTGGAGTAGTTTCTCTAATGTCTTTATGCAAAAATCTTCTAGTGGCTCATCAGACAAGGGAAGATCTCAGAAGACTCCAACTTCTCCCCTATCTCCAAGTTCACAGAAATTGTTACAGTTTGACCTTCCTGGGACCTCTTTAGAGAGGTCTAAGTCCTCAGTCATAGTACCTCCAACTACAACTGGATTTAAGCCCACTGCAGTTTTCACTGATGTGAATAAAACAGAGATGGCTTCAACACCAGGTAAGTATATTCATACAGGTAAAAGTTTGAGAGTAGAGGGTCAAAAGAATAAATGATAAAGGAGTTGAATCAAAAAAACAAAGTTACGGGTCAGGTATACATTGGCTAGTGGAGTGCTGGCCTAGCCTGGGTTTATCAGACGCTACATAAATCATGTGCAGGATGCACTCACCTCATCCTAGGCCACTGAGTGAGTTAGAAGGTCAGTCTGGGGTACGTGAAACCATACCTCAAAAGAGAGATAGAAACTAACAAGAAAGACAGCAAACTAAGTGATAGGGAAATATTACTTCAAGTTTATATGATTAGTCTTTGAAGTGTTAAGCAAAAACTGTGTAGAAATTAAATATTCAAAAGCATAAATTCAACCATGTTCATTTTTTTCTGTGTTGCCAGCATTAGTAAAAACTCATCCCCCAAATACTCTATTCCATCTGTAGGCATGTAACATGTATATATACATGCCCATAAGAGAAGGACAGAAGTAACTATTAAAATACAATATACTAATAAGTCACTGTCTTTAGTACAAAGAAAAGGTAGATTTGTCACGTGCTTATAAAATGAGAGCTGGTTTTGTCCTATTGTGTGAACCTTTTGATTTAATGATACTTCTGTCCCCCAGGTTCTAAGCGTTTCTCTCCTGCTGGCCTTCAGCATCGCATGGCTGCAGAACTCAGTTACCTGAGTGCCATTGAGGAGTCAGTTCGTCAGCTGTCTGATGTGGAAAGAGTTAGAGGCATTGCCCTCGCTCAGCAGGAGAGTGTATCTCTGGCTCAGATCATAAAGGTATTAGTTGAATTTTCTTAATTTTTTCCCTGTGGTTTTCTTCTTTTCTTTGTGTTTAGAATTACTCTTAATGAGTTTTGTTTGTTTAAAAACCAAAACTTTCAAGCCAGGCATTGTGGTGTATCTGTAATCCCAGCATTCAGGAGGCAGAGGCAAGAGTATCTCTGTGAGTTCAAGGCCAGCATGGTCTATATAGCAAGTTCCAGAACAGCTAAGACTACATACAGAGAAACTCTGTCTCAAAAAAAAAAAGAAAAAAAAATCAAACTTCCAAGGAGAATTAAAAATAGTCTGAATAGTACCTGTAAATAATAGAAGAAAAACTATCATGTGGATTACTAAAAAGAAACCTGAAGCCTGATTTGGTAGTGCATGCTTGCAATCTTATCCTGGGCAGCTGAGTCAGGAGGATCAGGAATTCAAGGTCAAGTGGGACTCTCTAACCAGACCCTTCCTCAAAGACCAAACCAAGCAAACCAAAAAAATTGGCACCACCAAGAGAATTGAAAATAGACTGTGTGACAGGAGAACGCTAGCACAGTTGCTCTTTTTCACATTCTTGGGTTTTCATGCTTTATCCTCTGTTTTAATGACTTAAAATTAAGGATTGAATTAATGAAGATTAATGACAACAATCATCTGTTTTTCTTTCCTGATGGAAATAATTAGGTTTGTCTGGGTTGTTGTTGCTGGTTTTTTTTTTTTTTTAAATTTTTGGTGGTGGTGGTGATTTTTGGTATTGTGTTCTTTTATTTGGCATTTGCTATTGTTTTGTTATTTTTATTTATTTAAAATGCATTTGTTTATTGTATGTGTATTGTCTCAGGAGATCAGAGGACAAATCTTGGAAATCACTTCTTCTACCATGTTGTTCTTGGAGATTGAACTCAGGTTGTAGGGCCTGGCAGCAAGCTCCTTTACTTGTTGTATGAGCTTGCTGCCCCCACTTTATTTGATTTTTAATGCTTTATTTGAACTAAACAAACAAACCAGCTAACGGTTTCTGAGATTCAGATCTTTTATAAAACAAGGATAGTGTGTACTGTAACTCAGCACATCCAGGGGTTAACCAGTGTTCTCCTTTGTGGATGCTCTAGGGCACCATTTTTTATTTTATTTTACTTAGGTATTACATTCAATAAAAATTGCAGATTTTAGGTGTGCAGTTTTGATTAATGTATATTCCTCCACAACAACCATCTAATCAATAGAAGATTCCTCTCATCCCAGACATTGACCCATTCCCATTTTCTGTAATTCCCATAGGCGTATTCAGTCTGTTTTCTTATGCTATGGTTTATTTTTGTCTTTTCCAGAATTGTATATGGTTCATGTTTATTTCTAACTCTGTTGTATTTAGTTTATTTTATTCATCGTAAAACTAAGATTTATCTATGACATTGTAATTTTGCCTAGTAATAAACCAATGATTTGTAAGTAGGTCCTACAACATATTTTCATTTTTCTTGCATAAATACCCAGGATTATTGCTTGGGACACATATAAGCATCTAAAACTTTGCGGAAAAACTCTCATATTGTTTTTTAAAATGGTTTAACAGTGAATAGTTGGCCTCATTGCAGTGGAAAGACCATGTCGACCGTGGATTTGGAATAAGCTTTGAGTGTGGCAGTCCTTAACACAGTAGATGTCCGTCCCTTTCAATGTTTCATAGGCCATGTTTGAAAACAGCTAGAGACTTTGTACTGTCCCCACAGTAACTGGATGACACTACTGTTACTGAGTCAGAGTGGGCAGGAGTCCTGAACTCCCTTTACAATAGGAAACAGTTATGTACACTTACATGCGTGCCCATACATACACAGATTTTTTTCGTACTATTTCCGGGCTACATTATAATTTTGGAAATCCCAAGTCTGTTCATGGCACTATATAACTTCACGTATAGGCTAACCACCTATAGAGAACCTATACACACACACATACACCCTTGGAGTTAACACTGTATGGAATGATGTTGTCAGAAAGGTGTGTGTGTGTGTGTTTTCCGAAAGGTGGCCTTTAGGGAGGCAACATTTTAAGTGAAATTGCTCCTTCAGAAGCAAAGTCAAAATGATGAGGAACGAGGCGTTATTTTTAGTTTTACATATATAACTTTAGTAAAACCAAAGAGTTAGGTGGTATAGTTTTTGCTTTCTAACCAGCTTTTGGTATTCTTATAAAATTTCTGTATAGAGATAGTGATACATGGGAGATGGCCACTAAGTCCTGCTGGTAAATGGTAAACTGTCTGATGTCTTCAGAGTTTGTTGCCTTCCTTTGGGCTCTCATTGTTTGCCGTCCGTCATTTACATTAGAAACACTGTGAGTCTAGTATGGTGGTTCCTGTTTGCAATTCTAGCTCTACAGCAAACTGAGACAGATTGCCTGTTAGTTTGAGGCCAGCTTGCTCCATAAAAGTTCCTATTTGAAGCAAAAAGGAGAGAAGATAGGGAGCAAAGGGATGTGTTTACTATAGCAACTGTATCAAGACATTTTAATGCTGAAGAATTAATATTTCATCACTTTAATTGAAAGGCACAGCAGCAACGTCATGAAAGAGATTTGGCTTTATTGAAGTTAAAAGCTGAACAAGAGGCTCTGGAGTGTCAGAGACAGTTAGAAGAAACCCGAAACAAAACAGCTCAGGTAATTTGTTTTGTGGCAGATGTTGGTTTTTTAAACCTAAAACTTTATATTTAAAAAGTTCACTGTAGAACTCATTAAGCATATAAGAATAAAATAAAAAAGAAAGGTGGCAAATAATGTTTAGTACTTTTTATGTGGTAATTTCATGACATTTGAGTTATGTAGCAACCCTTTGAAATAAGTAGTCAAGACTCAGTCCCAGTTTAGAGAAGCAGCAACCAAGGTGCATAACAGTTAATCACCACAGACCCATCAACTCTGAAATCCAGGTTATAGTCAAGTGTATTTTTCATCAAGTAGTTGGTCCATGTAACAAATTTATAAGTTAAAGTTAAGTTACATGGAAGGAAGACTAAACCCTAACTGTTTTATTTATAGGTCCATGCAGAATCATTACAGCAGGTGGTTAAATCACAAAGAGAAGTGACTGAAGTCCTCCAGGAAGCTACGTGTAAAATAACAGCTCAGCAATCAGAGACTGCACGCCTCACCACAGATGCAGCTCGGCAGATCTGTGAGGTGAGAGCCCTTGCTTTTTCTTCTGAGTCATCCTGAATAACCAAGGTCTGGCTGGTAATGGTGTCTAGCACCTACAAGATGCATACTTTGACTTAGTGACTCTGAGCAAAGCTCCACTAAGATCACATTATTTATTTACTTGTTTTGGGGAGAGGTCAGGTGAGTTTGAGTGTTGAAGTTAGGGGACAGTTTGAAGGAGATGCTTCTCTCCTGCAACCGTGTGGGTCTCAGAGATCAAACTCAGGCCCTCAAACTTGGCAGCCTTTGTCTGAGCAGCCATCTTGCCAGTCCCAGTTCAGTGATCTTTCCAGGGCATTATGCTCCTTTTCAGCTCTCCTGTGACTACCTTTTAAAGTCTACTTTTGCTGTTTGGTGTGTTTACGTTTAGATGGCAGAACTAACTCGAACACACCTCGCAGATGCCATCACGACTTCTGGAGTTCCCCTAGCAACACTGTACAACCACCAGCGGCAGCATTTTCCAGACTACATGAAACAACTGAGGACCAAAGCTGAAACAGATAGGTGAGTATGCAGCCATTCAAAAATACGTAATGAAGTACCCTTTTGTCATATGCACCACTTAGGGTATAGAGAATACAGTTATGGGTGTACAGTCCAATGGGAAGAGGAACATTTGTCAAATACTCAGTTAAGTGGATGAAAACAATAAACTCAGATAAGCGTTATAAAAGAAATGTGTTTCAAAGGTATGTAATACTTGACTTTAAATAGCAGAAGGCCAGGTAATCAAGAAGGTGTTAAAGACTTGGAATGGGATATAGTAGATAATAGGTGATACAAAGGAGGTAAATAGTCAGATTAAAAACCTTGAAGGGAAAAGGAACACAACGTATTTAAGAGGAATTCAAAACAGAAAAGGCCAGTGTGACTGGAAGAAGAGAGCAGAGAGGAAAGTGGTGTGGGACAACCAGGGTGAGACCTTGCAGATGTTAGAATTTTAGACTTTACTCTAAAAACAATGAAAAGTCACTTAAAAATTTTCTAAGAGAGAGCCTCACTCTGTAGCCTTGGCTAGCCTGGAGCTTATTATGTAGACTGGTCTCAAACCTAGCCTCCCAAGTGCAGGGATTAAATAAAGGTGTAAGTTGCCATGCCCAGTCACTCTGTGTGTGTGTGTGTGTGTGTGTGTGTGTGTTTGTGTTTCTTTTGGAGAGACCTTTTTGCAGCGACTTCCACTGGAAGTCAGTCTGGCCTGGAGCTCACTGTGCAGTGCAGCTGGTGCTGTCAAGACTTTGTGCAGTCCTCTGGTCTCCTCCTCCCAAGTACAGAGATTACAAGCAGGAGCCATTACTTCAAGCTTTGTGTGTTGTTTTTGTTTTGTTTGTTTGTTTCTGTAGTTGTTTGGTGAATTTGTTTTTGGGTTTTGTATTTTGTTTTGTTTTTTGAGACAGGGACTCACTCTGTAGATCAGGCCCCAAACTCAGAGATCCATCTGCCTCTGCCTCCCAAGTTCTGGGCTTAAAGGTGTGCACCACCACACCCTGCTTGTTTTGTGTGTGTGTGTGTGTGTGTGTGTGTTCCTTAAATAATGCTTTAACTGTCTCTAATTCATAGATTTTTTTTAAATTTATTGAGAATAGGAGTGGCTAGTGAGGGTATTCTTTGTATTATATGTCCTTTTCTGTTTGAATTCTAAAATGCTTTCTACACTTATTTTGTAATTTTTATGCATTCAAGATTTTATGTTCTATTAAAGTCCTTATCTTACTGGAGACCCAATATTTCATCAGGTTTTGTTTTGTTTGTTTTTAGAATAAGTCATTCTGCTTCACTCTCCCAGAGTAAAGAAGGAACTCTGGACTCAAAGCGTCAGAAGTATTCCCCTTCCCGGGATAGTTATTCTGAGTCTTCAAGATACAGGAGTCACGATTATCGGAGGTGAGAAAGGCTTTCATCAGTGCAGTGTAGTGAACTCTGATAAACACTCCAAACATTGCTTTTTCTTTTTAAATTTTGTTTCTATAAATTGAATGATCTCTGGCCTTCAAAGTGCCAGTCTTTTTTTTTTTTTTTTTTTAAAGATTTATTTATTTATTACATATGAAGCTGTCTTCAGACACACCAGAAGAGGGCATCAGATCTCATTACAGATGGTTGTGAGCCACCATGTGGTTGCTGGGAATTGAACTCAGGACCTCTGGAAGTGCAGTCAGTGCTCTTAACCACTGAGCCATCTCTCCAGCCCAATGCCAGTCTTTTTAACTAGCTAATATACCAAATATTTGTCCATGTAGTAATAGAGCTACTATTTTTTGAGAGTAGCCTGAACATTGTATAGGTTGTTCCTTTTGCATGTAATGTTTAGAGCAGCCTTTCAAGTCAGATAGTGATGTTAGATTAGAGAAGGGAACTTAGACCCTGAGACATCAAGACTTCAACTCAGGGGCTAGAGAGACGGCTCAGCGGTTCAGAGTGCTTGCTGCACAGCCCTGAGGACTGGACTTAGATCCCAGCACTGCATCATGCTCTGTGCTCTTCTTGCCTGCATGTCTGTGTACTCACAAAACAACGTACATACACTTAGACACATGCTTGTACACACGCACACGCAGTGACACATTAAGGATTTGAGCCTTGATTTATCTAGTTCTAAAGCCTGGGCTTACTGCACTTTTCCACAGGGACATCCTTTCTCTCACCCCTCACCTTTGTCTCTTTCCCTCCCTCCCTCTTCTCTTTCCTTCTCCTTGAGATTGTGGTCTCACTGTATGCTGCTCAGAGGCTATAACTGGGCTTTCAAGCATGTGCCATCATGGATGGCTTTACTCACATCTGTTGATGTTATTGTGTATACTAATATTAGGAATAGTACTGAATAGTTTGTCATTCATACTGGCACAATATTAATGTCTGTGTTTCTCAGTTATGGTTCAGTCCTCTGAGGAGATTTTACAGTCTCCATTCCAGCATTTCTAGTGGTAGAATAGCCATATCATCAAGTATAATAAAGCCTTAATTAAAGAGCTAAGAACTTGGACAGTAATATGTGATAAGCACAACAGGTATTGATTACTTACGATGTCTCACACTATGTGTTTTCTTCTTAACCTTAGCTGAATGCTACCACCATTGATGCATCATGTAGGCCATTGGGTTACTACAGTGGACTGTTAATAGGTTACTTATTCAGCTGAGTAACAACCAGCGTGAATTTTTTTTTAAGTTTGCACCCAATGCAGCCATTCACATGTTTGAAAGTCTAACCAGGCTGCTTGGGTTTCTGATGACCGTTTTCACTTGCCATGTTTCCAGGGCTCATCTCCTGTTATAGTGTATATCACCACTGTATTAATACTGTCAAGTCATATTCTAGTGCATGTGTGTATTATATTTTATCTGGCAGCAAATAGCCAGTGCTGCTTGTTTCTGCTTCTGGGGTATAATGAATAATTCTGCTGTGAACATTAATATTAAAGCTTTTGTGTAGATGTATGTTTTCATATTTTATAAGTATATGTTTAAGAACTACTGAACCCTGTGATAAATGTTTTATTTTGTTTTGTTTTTGAAAGACTGAAACTTTGTCAAGCGTTGCCAGACTCTTTTCAGAAGTCTCAGTACTTTTGAATCAGAAGTGTAAAGTTTTCTCCCATCCTTATGAACACTAGTTACTGTCTTCTGATTGTAGGCATTCAGGTGGAACGGTATGCACTTACAGCTCACAGACTCACCATAGCTAAAGCAGGATTTTAAGGAAAGATAAAAATTAAAACCAAGTGAAATAAATACAGAACTTAGCTCTGAAGGTAGAAAGAAAAATAATTAAGAATAGAGTCGTGGGATATAAGAAAAGAGCTTTTATTTGATATTTTTCCCTTGTTTGTGTGTTTGTTTAATTTAAAGCAAATAAAGGTTTTTAAAGAAGGTACAGGGTCTGTATGTAGATGACCTGGTAGGGTTTGTGTAGCATGTACAAGCCTTTGAGCTCAGGCCCTAGCACCATATACAATCTACTGTGGAACTTGGTGCCTATAGTCCCAGCACTTGGGATGTAGTCAGGAGAACCAGGAGTTCATGTGGGCTGCGTGAGACCTTGTCTAAAAGAAAAAAGAAAAAAGAAAAGATCAGCACTACCTGATATTTTTAGAGGAAAAAAGCAATTTATAAATTTAAAATGAGAAGTTTAAATAGTTTATCAAGAACAGCTCCAGTAGCACAATTAGTGATACAATTAGTGAAAGAAAATGAAAATAGTAAGCAGAAGCCTCCCTTTAACCCGAAAATGTGACTGTGAAATGAAATAGGGACATGGTAACCTGTGAATCGTGGTTGTCTGTTGTATTTCCAAGGAAAACGACCTCTCCTGATCTTCCTGCGTATTTTATAGTATGTCTGTCTGCCTTCAGTGTATGACTTACTTGAGTATGAAGCACAGTCTTTTGGCTGAATTAGTTTACTTTGAAGTTATGATTTAATTTCTTTGCTGTATGTTTGTTTCCATAACATCCGTGTACACAGAAGTAGTAGTGGTAGCAGCCGACAAGACAGCCCTTCAGTTCCACCTAGCAAGGAAAATGAGAAGAAATTTCACGGTGAAAAGATGGAGGGTTCAATTGAGGAACAGCTTCAGACAGCTGCTGATGATTCTTTACGAAGTGACAGTATTCCATCTCTTCCGGATGAGAAAGGTAACTTTCCTTGTATGCATATGCAAAGCTGGAGGAAGAGCGATCCATGGAACAAAGTGGCAAATAAGTCCATTAAACGCACACATTGACTCATTTGCTTTTGTTGTGCAGCTGGAATTTGAACTCAGGATCTTACCCATGCTGGGCAGTTGCTTTATTGAGGAACTATACTCTCTGGGCTTGTGGTTTTATCTGGTAAATAGTAGTTAAAAGTGATAGACTTGCACATTTCCCTTTAGAGGTTACTACCAAAGTGTTGTTTCTCTTTACTGCTTACAGTAACTTGAAGGAATTATTAAGAAAAAAAGGAACCAAATACGAAAGGTTTAGAAAATTCTCAGCCAATCCCTACTTTTATTATTTTAAAGTTTTTATGTGTATGAGTGTTTTGCCTGCATGTATGTCTATGTACCACATGTGTGCTTGGTGCTGGCAGAGATCCGAAGTGGGCATTGGATCCTTTAAAACTGGAATAGATGGTTGTAAGCCATTATGTGGCTGAGACTCAAACTCGGGTTCTCTGGAAAGGAAGCAAGTGTTCTTAACCACTAATCCATGTCTCCAGCCCTGCCAGTCTGTATCTTAGAGGGGAGCTGCAGTAGAAAGGAGGAAGAAAGCAGGTGTAGAGATGTAGTTACCAGCAGAAGCAGTGCCAGTCTAAACTAAAGTAGGCAGGATAAAATGAAACAGAGGAGAATAGACTTCTAGAATTGTATGGGATGGGTCATTAGAATGTCTGAAGCTATATTCTTCAAAGGGGAGAAGAATGATTCCTGGACAATTAGCAGATCAGTAAGGCTGCCACTGTCAGTTCAGGCCAAGGTACCAAGGCTGTTCTACTCACCCCACTTCCATCAATTAGAATATTAGCATTGTCCAGACTATTTTTATATTTATTTATAACTGTTATAAAGTTGAATGGCTGAAACATTCTTACTTACATTAGTGTTTTACATCCCTGGATTTATATGAACAAGTCACACATAAATGGAACTAGAAAAACTACCAATACTTAAGTCCTATTTTTCCACTTGCAATCTCAGTCAGGTATATTTTGAGCCTGTGGGGGAAAAATTAATATCCAGAACTACCAATAACAGAAAGAAGAGAGAAGAAACATTTTTTGCGGTTTTCGAGAATGAGATGTTTCCTGGCATGGTAGGTGTTTAAGCGTGTTCTCCACATGCCGTTCATCTACATTCTAGTTAGCTGTCTTTTGGCATAATTGTTCCATGTTTTTTCGTGGATGACAAACAGGTTCATGTGGGTTTTCTTTGTTCTTGTTGTTGTTTGTTGTTGTTGTTGTTGTTTTTAAGAGACAGGGTTTCTCTGTGTAGCCCTTGGTATCCTAGAACTCTGTAGACCAGGCTGGCCACCTGCCTCTGCCTCCTGAGTGCTGGGATTAAAGGCATATGCCACCACCACCCAACCAGGTTCATGTTTTTAAAAAGGATGCCCATGTAATTCATTTGCCTCTCATGAGTGAGAACTTTCTTCTAAGATAAGATCTGTTTTGAAGTCAAAACAATGTTTCACTGGATGCTGGAAGAGAAGTTTGTGAATCTTAAGTTTAGTGAGCTTCTGATAGATCTCACTGCATAGAGTGGCATACTTTCTGTCCCACAACCATGAGGCTTTCTCTGCTTTTCCAGTTGAGGGCACCCTCTTCTGAGAGTATACTTTGTAACCACTTGGTTCTTAGGTGTTTTACCAACAGTCAGTTTGTGGGCAGTTTGCTTTGTGAAATCTGGGTAAATAAGAAATTGGATCGACTTAGAATGTGATAAAGAATTATGCTGGTCTAGAAAAGAGAGGATAGAAGATTACTTTTCTAAGGTTCATAACCTCACTAATCCAGAAAGTTTGCCAGGTTTCCAGTAGCAGGCATGAATTCTGGCCTGCCAAGGGGATCTTAAGCCTAGCTAGACAACTGTTGGTTCGCACCAACACATGAGTGCTGCTCACAGCTCCTTTATGCATATTTCACCATGCTGGTAATTGTCATGGTTCACGGGTGTTAGAGCCGGGTAGGGTGGTGTAATTCCTTCCTTCCATTGGAATCCTGCATAGTATTTTTCTGTAACTGTGAAACCTAGACCACAGGATTGAGGCTTTCAGGTTAGATCCAGCTTGAGTCATTAAAGTTGTGTATCCGAAGTGTATTCAGCAGTAGGATAAGTTAATTTATATTTCTTTACTAAAATACTAAACATTTATAAACTTTTTGTCTCTTGTCAATTCCTTTGTGAAGCTTCTGGTCATAAACTTTGTATATTAGGGCTTTCCTCGTTGATCTGTAATTGCTCTTTAAGTATGAAGTATATTAATCTTTTAACATATTTCTTTTTTATTATTTAACTTTTTAGATTCTTTGTGACTTTCACATCATGCACCCCAATCCCACTCATGTCCCCGTCCCTTCGTACCCACCCTCCACCCTTGTCACTCCCCACAAAAGGAAAAAAAAAACTTGCCGTGGAAGCTGTAGTTTGTTACAGTGTGTCACACAGTACACCCTTTTGTCCACACTTCTTTACTTGCAAAAGTTCATTGCAGTGAGTCATTGGTCTGGTTTGAGGCCTCTGGCTTCTGCTACACTATCAATACTGAAATTTCATTGGAACTCCTCTCAGATATCCTGTTATTGCCCTGTGTCATGGAGATCCTACAGCTTTGGATCTGTAGGACCAGCCTCTTCATGTGCTCCAGTAGTTCATAGATGGGGTAGATGTTGGAGTGGCCAATTCAAACCCTGGATCTGGGCCTGGGAGGTCACTGAGCTGGTTAGCCTGCCAGCATTCCTTCACCCATACCACCGGGTAGGCTCTCCAGCACTTCTGCAGCCAGTTCACCCAGTGCTGCAGTTGGCAAGGGGCAGAGCCAGTTCTACTCTCATGCCCTCAGGCCAGCTCACCCAAACCCACCATCAAGGCCAGCTCTATTGTGCTGGCCAGACAAGGTGCAGGGTCTGCTCTCCTAAGTGCTGTAGCAGGCAAGGGGCTAGGCCAGCTCTCCTGTTCTCACCCTGAAACCAAAGCAGCTCTACTGTATTGCCCAGACGAGGTGCAGGGCCTGCAGCTGGTGAGGAACAAGGCCTGCTCTCCCACTCTCATGGCCTCTGGGCCAGCGCTCCTGCATAAGTGGTGAGGAGCAAGAAAAAGGAAGAGGGCATCTCTGTCTTGCCCTTGCCACCATAAGACAGACTGGTTTCAAGTTTCAGGGTCAACTCACGTGCACTCCTCATCCCCAGGGTCAGCTTTGTTGTGCTGTCCAGATGAAATACAGGGCATCTTGAGTGCTGCAGCAGGAGAGGGGCAGGCCAGCTCTCCTGAGTTTTATAGCCTGTGAGAGGCAGGATTAGCATGTTTCTTATTCTAGCATTTCTAGGTATTTTTAGAGGGGTTTTTTTCTTATTTGTAAGATATTTAACTTTTCCTCTTAAATGTTAGGTACAGTTCTGAGAATTTATATAGAATTGCCTCAGTAAGAGGCAAAGGGATTCTATTTAAAGGCCTACTGAGAAGAATTATACTGATTAGGTATGGGGCTGGGGATGTAGCTCAGTTGGAATCATGCTTGCCTAGCATACACTAAGACCTGGGTTTGATGTGTAGCACCATATAGCATAAACTAGATGTGGTGGCACACAGGGTGGCACACCTGTGAGCCCAGCACTTGGGAGGGAGAAGCTGGAGGTTCAGGAGTTACAGGGTAGCCTGGGCTATGTGGGACCCTGTGTTACACCCTTCCTTCCCCTGTAAAAGAATTATGATTATTCTTTCCATTCTATTAGACTCAACTTCTATTGCAACAGAGTACTCCCTGAAATTTGATGAGTCTATGACAGAAGATGAAATAGAAGAAAAGTCATTTCGATCCTTACTACCTTCTGAGAGTCATCGTAGATTTAACATGGAAAAGAAAAGAGGCCATCATGATGACTCTGATGAGGATGCTTCCCCAGACAAGACTGCACTGTCTTCTACCAAGGTATGTTTTTACTAAGGAGGGAAATGGTCGCAGTCATAGTTTTTAGAGGTATGAGAATACACTAATATAAATACCAGTAATATAGTTAGCAACTATAAGAAATATTTTCCAAGATCAGATTTATATTATACATGTAAGATCTGGCTTGGTTGTTCAAATAAAATAGAATATAAATTTATTAGTTATAATAAGACCTTTAAATATCTCAGCAAGTATTACTTACAGCTTTTTCATTTCGTCCAATTAAAATATGCATTCTTCTTTCCAAATTGTATGTTTAATGTAAAACAGGGACAAAATTTTATCTTGCTTTATTCCCTGGTACAGTGCATGACTTGTGCAATAATTGTTCATTAAAAAATGTTCAGTTTTTTTTTTAGATGTATTTCCACTTCCTCTCCTCTCTTTTTGAGCAATATTTTTTAATATGGTAGATAGTTTATAAAATGCTTATTTGCTTTATTTCTTTTTTATTCATTTCTTTTTAAAATGAAGTCTCACTATGTTTCTCAGGTTGGTCTCAAACATGTGTTCATGCAATCCTCACATCTTAGGCTCTGGAACTATAGGCATGCAGCCCCACCCTAACTTTTATAATTTACTTTGTACAAATATGTAACTTTTTAAATGAAGTTAAATACCAAAAAGTTTGAAATAAATTGTGCACTTTAGGAGCTGAGCATGCCGTTCTCAGGAGGACAGGATAGCTTTTCTAAGTTCACTATGGAGATGGTGCGACAGTATATGAAGGAAGAGGAAGTGCGTGCAGCTCACCAGTCCTCACTTCTGCGGCTTCGAGAAAAGGCCTTAAAGGAGAAGACAAAGGCCGAGTTAGCCTGGCTAGAGCATCAAAAAAAGCAAGTTCTTTCAATAAGTATCATTTTCAGTATTCAGGGTTTTTTTTTTTTTTGAAATAAAAATGCTTTGTGTCTTAAGATTTTTTTTTTTGATATTGGGAACTCAAACCTGGGTTTGGTGACTGCTAAACACTGTGCCACGTGTGAGCCACGTTCTCAGCCTATCTCAGCTGATGTGATCTCATCAGCATAGTTCTCAAGCTAAAAATAGTGGTGATAATCTTTGTTTTGTGCTATTTTCAAGATAATTTTTCTATTAGTAAATGTTTTCATTTCTTAGATCACTTTAAACAACTCATTATTGGTTGTCATTTTATACTTAATGTTTCTCGAGTGTTGTATGTTGCTCAAAGTATTGTTGTCCTTAGAGGATGGAGTCCAGGGCCAACACACACACACACACACACACACACACACACACACACACACACATGCAGTAAAACACTTGTTGAAACTGGTACTTGTAACCATTGCTTTCCACATAGAAAGACATTAAATTAGTTTATAGGCTTTAGGATAGTTAAGAATTTTTGAGATAATAAATTTAACATCTTTATCAATGAAAGACTATGCTTTGCAGGCATCTACGAGACAAAGGAGAGGATGATAAGATGCCCCCACTCCGGAAGAAACAGCGTGGTTTGCTTTTAAGACTTCAGCAAGAAAAGGTGTGTTGAAAACAGCACCTGTGTGACACAGTTTGTCACAAGGGAAGCTTGTGATACGGTATTTTTACCTAATCTCATTTTGCTATTATCACTGTTTGTGAGATTTAGCTGATACTACTGCTTATTTCTGTAGTACAATAATTATAGGCATTTCTTGCTAGTCTCACCTATTTCTCTTATTTTAAAACTGTCATATTGCTTACTAGACAGTCAAATGTACCTTCATGTACCACAGAGAATAAAAATCCTACAAAATACAAATGAAAAAGCTATGTGTAGAAAAGTGGATGTGGGTTAATACTTAACATTGTTTCCTTGAGTAGTATTTTATGACATTGATTACATATTGGCTAGTTTTATGGCCTAGTGGACTTAGAAGGACCTTAGCTGTGGGTTCTGGAGAGGCAGCATAGAACATGATGATTAGGAGCTCAGGCTCTGGGGTCTGATTGCCTGGACTGAGGTGATAGGAGTGATGTAATAGATTATTGAATAGTGTTAAAAAATAAGTTTACCCAGGAATGTCATCACTGATTATATTACTTATTATAGGAAATGTGTTAACTTTCTGTTGCCATAATGAATATCTAAGGTGAAGAAAGGGGTTTATTTTGGTTATATTTGAGAGGTTTCAGTACATGGTTGATTGATCCAGTTGCTGTTAGACCTGTAAGTTAGTTAGTGTTATGCCAGGATCACAAAATCTTGAGGGATGGGAAGCTCTTGGTAGCTAGGAAGTAAAGAAAGAGAAAAGAACAGACTAGTCATGACCCCAGTCTAAGTTCCACGTAAGAGTCTACCACTGCCCAATCACTCCACAAGCCGGAGACTGGCCTTCTAATACATGGATCTTTAGGCGACACCTACCCAAGGACAACAGAAGATTCACATCCCCTCCTCTCTTTGGATTCCCTGGAAAAGTCTTTGAGTTAGTTGTTATATGTTATATGCTTCAGAAATTCAAGCACAAACCAGTGCCCTAGCACAAATTGGGGCTATCAGATTGAACTGATAAGTCATATTCTTTACTTCCATGCATGTACAGTTAAAAAAGTAAATTTTGATTAACAAAGCCCTAATGAAGTGGTAAAAATGATAATCTTATGATTGTGACCCTTACATTCATGTATCTAATACTGTGTTTAACAAAAATGTAAAGCTCCCACTTAGCGCCCTGCTTTGGCTAGCAGACTACAGTGATTAATGAATGGAAAAGTTTTCGTGCAGTTATTTGAATTGGAAATTGAACTAGCCAAGTGTTTTTGTCTTTTTAAATTTGTGTGTTCCATTAAATTCTTAAAATTAACATACCAAGTCTTAGGGTTTTGCTGCTATGAAGAGTCACCATGTCCACAGCAGCTCCTATAAAGGCAAACATTTAATTGGGGCTGGCTTACAGTTTCAGAGGTTCAGTCCATTCTCATCATGGCAGGAGCATATCAGTATCGAGGCAGGCAAACATGGTGCTGAAGGAGGAGCATAGAGTTCTGCATCTTGATCTGAAGGCAGCCAGGAAGGACTTCTCCCTGCAGTGATGGGAGCCTAAGCACTACAAGCCCTTAAAGCCGACTCCTACAGTGACACACTTCCTCCAACAATACCACACCTATTCTAACAAGGACACACCTCCTAATAGTGTCACTCCCTGTCGGCCAACCATTCAGACACATGAGTCTATGGGGGCCAAACCTATTCAAACCATTATAGACTCACAATTTGATAATTATTGAGTCTGTCTTATTTTATTTAACATAATAATTTCAGTTCCACCCAGTTTCCTTCAAATGTCTTAATTTCATTATTCTTTACAGTTGATAAATGTACATGGTGTAAATGTATCATGTTTTTTATTCATTAATTTGTGGGTAGACCTCTGGGCTGGTTTCATATTGTGGCTGTTGTGACTAGTGCAACAGTAAACATAGCTGTGCAGAGATCTCTGCTTTCCAGTGTTTTATAATCCTATTTAGATGCTGAATTGTATTTCTATCTGGATATATATATTATATATATATACACAATTTATATATATAAATTGTATTTATATCTGGTATAACTGGGTCATCTAGTATTTCTATTTTTAGGTTTTCAAAGAGACTCCATACTAATTTCCATAGTGGTCACACCAGTTCATATTCCTACCCATAGTGTATAATGGTTTCTCCTGTGTCCTCATCAGCTTTCTTGTCCTATTTTCTTGATGATAGTCGTCGGGATTGAGGATGGAATTGAAATGTTCTTTCAGTTTGCATTTCCTTATTGTAGACTGGTGATACAGCCCCACTCCAGAATACCACTTTTATTTGAAAGAATTAGTGACAGGCAAACTATGCTTATTCATATCTTCAGCAGTTAAGAGCACTTGCTACTCCTAAAGAGGACTTGGGTCATTTGAATAGTGAAAATGTATTTTATGCCAATTAGAATGAATCCAGAGTGCTAAACATTAAACTGTTAACTTTTCAGATAGCTAATAATTAAAAAAAACTCAACTCTCAGACAAGAATAATGAAGATAACTGGTTTTTAGTGTCTTTATTATACTTATTAGTAAATTGAGTGGGTAGAGAAATGGCTCAGAGGTTAAGAGCACTGGCTGCTTTTCCAGAGGTCCTGAGTTCAATTCCCAGGAACCTCAAGTTGGCTATAATGAGATTTGGTGCCCTATCTCGGTGTGCAGACATACATGCAGGCAGAATGTTGTATACATAATAAATAAATAAATCTAAAAACAAAACAAAACCCAAAACCATAACCCTGTATTAAGGGACATAGACTGATACCATTGAGTTGCTTTTCCTACTGTTAGGAACTTCTTAACAGTTCACAACATAAAACAGTTACAGAGTTAAAACATTCTTTGGATAGTGAGAAATGTTAGGATTTAAGAATTTAACAGTATAAGAGTGGTTACACTAACTGGCTTGCTGATGTGTAGCTACTAAGCAGGTAAACGTAAAGATACAGTAACATGGGAAAATGTGAAAGGTATGCAAGGTTAAAAAGGACTATGATGAATTTGACGAGAGTTAGTAAAGCTAAGAAATCACCCTAAACTGTTGTAGAATGATGGGGTTATTTATAACGTTTTCCCTCCTTCACTAATTTGAAATGTTTTGGTATTGTTATTTGAAGTACATTGTATCTGTGATCTATTGATGTCATTCTTTTCTGTATGCTACTTTGAACTTATCCTTTCAAATCTCAACCCCTTTTCCTAACTCTTTAAATGTTAGGCAGAAATAAAACGTCTTCAAGAAGCCAATAAGGCAGCTCGGAAAGAAAGGCAGCTGATTCTTAAGCAGCAGGAGGAGATAGAACGGATCCGTCAGACCACCATAAAACTTCAGGAGAAGTTGAAGTCTGCCGGGGAGAATAAATTGGTAATTTAAATTAAATTTTTATTAATTTTTTTTGCCTTGTTGTTTGTTAATCTTGGCTCACTTTGTATTCTGAAATGATAGGTATGTTTGTTCAGTGTGATATAATAATTACTTGGATAAAGTCCTGTGTGCCTGCTTTTGTGTGTAGTGGAAAATCACCTTCTCGTGGAATGTGGTTATTTTGGAAGGAACACACGGTTGTTCTTTTTTTTAGCTTTAAATTCTTTCTCATATGGACTAAAGCGGGGCAAAATTCTTGGATTTGCTGATCTGTCATTACTCCTCAAAGTTGAAAGGAGAGACTCTGTTCTCATTATATGGTATTCCTCTCAGCTATCCAGATTTAATTTTATAATGACATGAAATTCAAAGGAGATATTTGGGCAAGAGCAAAGTTTGCATCTATTTTAAGGTACTGTGAAGTGTCAGTACTGTGTTGGAATATTCAGGATTTTGTAATAATGTAAAATTTTAAATTCCTAATTTTTCCTATTTTGATTTTTGAAACATTCTCAAATTAACAGAAAAAATTAAGCACATGATAAATTTATTTTTCTGAGTTGTTTGATAATAAGTAGCCAACAAATTAACACTGATATATTATTACTACTTAACTTCAAGTCTTTTTTAGTTTCTCCACTTGTCAAAATGGTGCTCTTTACAGCAAATCAGCTCAAAATTGCTAGTGGCAGTTTTTGTATCTTTTTGCTTTTCCTCCTTCACTCTAGAATAGGTTCTTGACCTTGATATAGGAGACTATATGCCAGTCATTTTGTAGAACATTACCTAACGGCTTTGTCTGGTGTTCCTTCGACATTAGATTCAGATTGTGTGTCTGTGGTAGGAGTATCATGTAAGTGATGTTGTATTTATTGCCATCAACAGGTAGACCTTGATTTTGATTGATCCTATTATTGATCATTGTGCCTCAAATCACTTGATTAGTATGTACTAGACTTTATTGTGTTAACAAACTACTTTTCTGTTGCTGTGACAAAACACTTATAAAACTTATAAAAACTTATAAAACTTACAAAAGAAAGCATTTAAATGGGTTGTCAGTTTCAGAAGGTTAGGAGTCCATCATGGCAGCAAGTAGCAGGCATGTTGGCTGGAGCAGCTGAGAGTTCATTTTGATCCTCAAGTAGGAGGCAAAGAGCACACCGGGAATGGCACAACTCTTGAAAACTCAAAAACCTGCACCCGATGGCACACCTCCTCCAGCAAGGCCACACCTCCTAATCCTTCCCAATCAGTTTTACCACCTGGAAACTAAGTATTCAAAGGCCATTCAGGCCATGACACCTGTTTATTTTCTTTTTCCCTATATCTTCTTTCTCCGTTGGACTGTGGCATATTTGCTAGGAAATTCTCTGTGGAAAGGCTGCCCTCACTGTTCACCGTGTTTGTGCTCCTGACTTGGTGCTGGTTACTCACTTCCACATGAACTAATATGCTGCCCCGTTTACTTAGATCCTCTGCACAGGCCGTGCTCCACAATTAGGTGTGCTTTTTCTCCTACTCAGCTTCTGAGCCCCCACGCTTGGCCCTAGACACAGGTGGAAACGTGCTCCTCTGTCTAATGACTTTAGGTCTCATTTGTTCAGGAGCAAGAAGGGAGAAAGAAGGGACCTGCTTTGTTTGTAGTTTCATGAAATTTAAGCAGACCAGATGATCTGTACCTATCTTCTTGAAAAAGTAATGAGTATACCTTACTATTTGTGAGAAAGGTGTATTAAGCTATTTAAATTTCACTGTGTTGTCTGTGGATTTTTGTTTGTTTTGTTGTTTGTTTTTAGTATTCTTTTTTTTAAAGATAGGATCTTGCTATGTAGCCCTGGCTGGCGTGCAGTTTCCTCTATAGCCTAGGTTAGCCACGAAAGGCTGGCAGTCCTGCCTCAGCCATCTCAGTGTTGAGATTGTAGGCACCATCATACCTGGCTTCAAGTTTTGCTTCTTAGAAGCAGTGTGCTGCTTAAGCCAATAATTCCTCCATGTTTTTCCCATAATTTTGTAAAATCTGTGAACATACTGTTTTCCATAAAAAATTTTAAAAATGTATTTTCCTGGTATGTTTACAGTTTATATCTTTTGATAATTTTTTGTGTGTATACACATTTTTTATACCAGTAGTGTCTGTTTTATTTTTATTTTATTTATTTATTTATTTATTTATTTATTTATTTATTTATTTATTTTGGTTTTTCGAGACAGGGTTTCTCTGTGTAGCCCTGGCTGTCCTGGAACTCACTCTGTAGACCAGGCTGGCCTCGAACTCAGAAATCCGCCTGCCTCTGCCTCTGCCTCCCAAGTGCTGGGATTAAAGGCGTGCGCCACCACTACCCCGTTTATTTTTATTTTAAAACAGTGTTTGGGATTAAGCCTCGGGCCTCCTTCACACTTGCTAAGGAAGCATTCACCCACTATGCCACACCCCAGCCCTGTGTATTCCTTTTAAGTGTTTCAACCTTTAAAAATCAAAGAGGACATTTGGGTGCTTGATTATACTGGCAGAAAATTTCCAAGTTCTTTGGATTTCCTTAGTTAAGAAAAGAACTTATTATATATAACATTTTTAAGGTCTCTTTCTTTCTCGTTTTCTTCCTTTCTGAAGTAAAACATGCATAACATAAAAATTTGGTCATTTTTTGAGGCAGAGTCTCACTGTGTATACCAGGCTAGCCTTGAATTCACTATTGGTAACTCCAGCTGGTGTCTAATTTCTGATCCTTCTGAACCTGCCCCCTAAATGCTGGGATTATAGGCATGTACCACCACAGTCTGGCAATTTTACTATCCAAACTGCTTTTAATTATGTGCTGGATTTCTGTTTTGTAAGTAATTAATCTCTTGACTTCAGTTATTATTACAAATGTTTTAAGTTTAAACTTAAGTGGACTGTGTTTAAGATCTCCTTGAGATCTTTAAGCCAGTGGCGTCTGCTCTGTGTTGTTTGCAGGGCTCTCATGATGATGACAATGCAGAGGAGAACAAGGCAGCTAGTCCTGATCCACCTGGCTTGGAGACCCGCAGTCCTTCCCCAGTGTCTATCTCCAGCAGTGAGACCAGCAGCATCATGCAGAAACTAAAGAACATGAGAAGCCGCATGGATGAAAAGTAATTATTATTTTTTGTTTCCTATTTAATCACATTGATATACTTCATCAGATTAGATTGAGAGAAAAAAATTTTTAGTAGAATTACTAGATTACCTAACAGCCATTAACTATGCATCTTACTTATAGAACAGTTTTTCTCATTTTAATACAATTGGGTTTTTTAATTTGGAAAAAAACAAAAACAAAGTAGTATAAATATATTCACTATAATATTAAAAGAAAGGAAGAAAGGGTACATGATCTGTCCTGATGTCTCATCATTGGCTCAGTGACATTTTTGACTTGGTCAAATAAGTACAATTTTAGCTTTGTGAGAGGGTATGAGTTCTTCAGCTGAAACCAGAGAGGCTGAGATGCTCTTGGGTTATGGACTGGCTTGTGTTTGTTTGTTTGTTTGTTTGTTTGTTTGATTGGCCTGAAACTTCTGGGAATTCTCCTATCTCAGACTCCAGAGTGCTAGGGCCACACATGTGAGCATGGTGTTTTGTTATTTTTATATTCTTCTAAAATGTGTGTGCGTGTGCATGTGTTTGTGGGGCGGGGGGGGCACGTGCTTGCAGGCCCTCTTAATTTTTTGAAATAGGGTCTCTCACTGGACTGTGAGCTCCCTGTTTCAACTAGATGGGATGGCCAGCAGGTTCCCAGGACTCACCTGTCTGTACCCCCAACACTGGGTTGCAGGTACACCACCATTGCTGACTTTGATGTCAGTGCTGAGAATACAAACCCAGGTTCTCAGCTCCTGCAGCAGACACTTCACTGTGCCATCTCCCCTGCACCTGAAAAAAATTTTAAGCGTTGTTTAGGGTTTTACTGCTGTGAAGAGACACCATGACCACAACAACTCTTATAAAGGCAAACATTTAATTGGGACTGGCTTACAATTTCAGAGACTTAATCCATTATTATCATGATGGGAAACATGGCAGCATCCAGGCAGACATGGTGCTAGAGGCCAAAGGAGCTGAGAGTTCTGTATCTTGATCCAAAGGTAGCAGAAGGGGACTGTATGTCACACTAGATGTGGCTTGAACATAGGAGACCTGAAAGCTTGCCTCCACAGTGACACACTTCCTCCAGCAAGGCCACACTTCCTAATAGTGCCACTCCCTATGGGCCAAGCATTTAAACACATGAGTCTATGGGGGCCATACCTATACAAACCACCACACTGGCTTTTTACTCAAAAATCCTCAAGTAAATAAATATAAGTTCTTTCATGAAGTAATGTTAGAACTTAGCAAAACATTTTAATGAATATTTAAGCATGGTTTAAGAAAATACAAGAAACAAGACAAAGGAAGATGGACTTTCTGGCTTAAGTTATATGTACCCAGGGCAAGGGTGGGGAGCCTCTTAAAAGACTCATTCACATGCATATAAATTTTGGAGACCCAAAATAAATATATACATGATTTGTTGGCTTTAACATTAAAAGGTTCAAAGATTAGGTAGGAATATTTATACTTATTTTAGTTTTGTTTTGGAGAGAGGATCTCACTATGTAGCTCTGGCTGTCCTTGAAATTGCTCTGTAGACCAGGCTGGCCTCAGACTCTCAGAGACCTGCCTCTGCCTCCCGAGTGCTAGCACTAAAGGTATATGCCACCGTGCCCAGCTCAAAGCACTTGACTTTTATTTCAAGGATTTTTGTTTAGTAAATGAAATGAAGTGGTTATTTATGGGGAGCATTAAGGTGTTCATGTGCTGCTCAATAAAAACACAGGTTAATCAGGAATTTTTCATGTAAATAAGTCACAAAGAGGTCAAAATGTGTTTTTACTATAAACATGATTCATAACTTTGTTGGTGAGATTTTTGTTTTCAATTTTCACCAGGAATAAAGGACTTTTTCTCCTTCCTTTGTCCCCTTAGTTTTCCATGCGTAAGACAAAATTTTAAAATTAAAGAGAGTGAATGACAAGGTAAATGGCTCTTTAGGTAAGAGTGTTGTTATGTAAGCATGAGTTCCTGAGTTCAAATCCCTAGAGCCCACGTAAAAGTGCCACTCACATACATGTAGCCCTAGTGCTGTGAGAAGTGGAGACAGGAGAATTGCTGGGGCTCACTGGCTAATAGCCTTATTCCAGAGTCAATGAGAGACTGTTTCAGGGAAGTAAGGCAGAGAGTAACAGAGCCAGACATGGACATCCTCTTCTGGCCTCTGCACTTACACAGATAAAGGTAGTATAAACTGAATGTTCGAATGTTACATATATGTGAATATCTCATGGGATAAACTAAAGGTTTCTTCAAATAAGAGTTTCTTGAATTGGGTATGGTTTTGCCTGCCTGTTATCTCAGCACTTAGGAGATGCTGCCAAAGGATCACAGCTCCATAACCAGCCAGGACTACAGAAGACACTGTTTCACATCTAGACAGACTCAGTGTGTAACTCAGTGGTAGAATGTTGTACAGGCAAGGCCCTATGTTTGATCTGTTACACTAAGGAGAATTTTTAAAATAGTTTTTTATGCTTTCTCCCTAAATTGGTTACTTTTTTCGTGGTAGTGACAAAATACCTGATAGAAACAACTGAAGGGAAGAGAAGTTTGTTTGGGTTCATGGTTTCAGCAACTTTAGTTCATTATCACAGGCAAGGCAGGTAACCTTGTCTGTGGTGGCAGGAGTACAAGGCAGCTGTTTACACAGTGGCAGAGAGGAAGCAGAGGTGCACCAGAGGCAGGTATAATCTTCAGAGGTTCTACCCATCTTCTTGCAGGTGAGCCCTGCTTGCTAAAGTCTCTATAGCCTTCAAAGAGTCCTGCAAGCTCCAGGGCAGACACTGAAAACAAGTGTGTGGACATTTCATATTCAAACCACAGCAGTTCCTTTCCTACATTGTTCCAGGAATAATGGGTCATAGGTTTTTATTATCATCCTAGTTTTCATTCAGTTGCTATGATAAATTCCATGGCCCAAAGCAACTTTTACAGAGAAGTGTTTATTTCACCTTACAGCTTATAGTCAGTCATAAAGGAAAGCCAGCACAGGGCCTTCAGGCGGGAACTGATGAAGCAGAGACCATGGCTTCCTCGTGGTGGCTTTCTCACCTTGCTTTTTTTATAGAGCCCAGGAACACCTGCCTGGTGGTGTCATTGCCCACTGTGGGTTGGGCCCTCCCATCTCAGTCATCCATCAAGAAAGGCCTGCCAGTCTGATGGAGGCACCTTCTTAGTTGAGGTTCTCATTACTCAGGCTATAGTTGTGTCATTGACAGAAAACCAACCAGCATCACTCTTTTCTGTTTTATATCTTCCTCCAAATGCCTGGGGATGCTGCAGGCCTCTTTAAGGCCTCTTTAGTCAGTTACTACAAACTGACATGACTACAGTATGTCTAAGCACTGCTATTTATGGTGCAGATAGCAAAGACAGCCATATTGTATAGATATCATCTAAGAGTAGTCATCCTTCCCAATAAAATTAACATTTGGGAGAAGTTTTTAAAAAAGATTTTTATTTCATGTGTGTGAATGTTTTGCCTGCATGTGTGTATGTACACCATATACTTGACTGTTGCCCTTTGAGGCCAGAAGATGGCATCAGATAGCCTAAAATTGGAATTATAGGTAGTTTCAAGGTGCTTTGTGGGTTTAGAGAACCAAACGTGGTCCTCTGCCAGGGCAGCAAGTGCTCGTAACCACTGAGGCATCTCTCCAGTTCCTTGGGGGAAAACTTATTATTAATTGTATATTACTGTTTACTGTCAACTTTCTGAATTGGTTTTTATGACACTTTCTGAAGTGATGATACTATGATACTACTTCAGGCCTTTAATGTTTCTGATAATAATGCCCTTGGTAAAACTTATACTTCCAATAGATGACTTTTCTTGACCTTTTAAAAAACTACCTCATTATATAACCCATGCTAGCTTTAAACCCCAAGTACTTGTGTCTTGGTTGTTCCCATATGGTTACGTGTTTAGCATCCTGAAGGATTCCTAGCTCTAAGGGGGGGCGAGTACTTAGCCCTTTGATCTTAAGTTTTTTTCAAGCTTTAAGGGGCACTTTTAGTTATATAGTATATGCATATTAAATAAGAAAATGTGTTTCTGGGAAGATGTTTCAAATGTATAATTTCTTATACTCTTTTAAAACTATTCATTTTATAATAGCTATTTCTCTTGCTTTTCAATTTTTAACAGAGATCTTGAATATGTTTGATCTTTAATAAATGACAAATGTCAGCTCTTGTGAGACTAGACAAAAAATGTTAGCTTTACATTTTTTAAAAGTTGTCTTGTGTGTTCCAATACTATTTTACTTTCTGTGCTAGGTCATGCATGCATTTAGCAGTTTTACACTTAAAAGGGCAGGTGATGTTTGAATGCTATAAATAAAATTTTAAATCTTCACCAAGTGCATTTTATTTTACATAATATTTTGATAATTAGCATCAAAATAAGTTTATTGTATATTCATAAAGAATGACAAGGGACATTGTAGTATGTTTCTGAAATGTGGAGGAATGTATTTCCTTAAAGTTGAGTACAGAAAATCAAGGCAATCCAGATAAATGACTATGTATGTGTATGTGTAAAAATCAACAGAGTGACGGACAGACATACTGTCTCAGACTGTGTAAATAAACAGAGTGACGGACAGATATACTGTCTGAGACTGTGTGAATAAACAGAGGATGGGCAGACATACTGCCTAAGACATGTATAAAAAAAATGTCCCTACCCTCAAAAATCCATGGCTGGATTCACACCTAGATTTTCTCCCTTCTGGGATGTATTGATATTGACCCTTGCCCTTCCAAGGCAATAATGAAATGTTGCCTTAGCTGTAAGTCACCGTTGTTTGCATGTGAACAGGAGCATGCTCTGTCAAAGAGGGTTAGACTTTCCAACTCTCACTGGACTTATTTATCATTTCACCTATGTATGAAATCTGTTTACTACTTCAAAAGAAGAAGAGTGAGCTTCCTCTGCCTTTAAAACTTTAACATAAGGAATTTTCTTATCTTTAGCTTTACAATTGAGCTGTTCATAACATTCTTCGCTGACTGTATTAAGATCAGCTTACTTTATTCCTAATTGTACATCCTGATATTTCAAAAAATGGGTATTGATTTTTTGTAATTATTATTTAAGTGGCCCTATGTTAGACTTAAAGCAAGATATCTCTAGTACTTTCTGTTAAAAGTTTATATTGTCAAAGCTAAAATATTATTCTATAAATTGGTTTGCTGAATTATACTTTTATTTTCAAGCTAGATCATGATGGTAAGGTTAAATAAGACAAATGCAGTAAATTAGCCTAAAATACATAATAAGGTAAAGGTACAAAAATCAGTTGCTCTAAGTTCCATATGTGTACAGAGTTACTGATCAAGGCCATATTGTTTACTCAGTGTTAAAGCTTCTTGAAAACGTATTTAGCCTCACACTGTTCTTCTCATTATATTCTCATAAACAAGTAAATTTACCTGAAAATGTAGATGATGAGCATGCAATGTTTGAGAAGACACATTAATTCAAAATCCATCAGTTTTAAGATCCATAACAGTCCATGTATTTGTATGTACCACACAGAAAGGTTCCCTTACTCAGCAGCGTGCGATATCCAGGATGCATATTAAAAGATCTTCATTCAACTCCTTTGCTTTCCCCTTTTCCTTCTTCCTGCCTCTTGATCTCTTGGTTTTAAAATCTTCCTCCTTATTTTGTAGACACTGCTCTCCTGTTCACTACTTCTTCTCTGTCTTTACGTCTCACCACTGGGCCTCTCTCAGTGTCTGTTTCCCCAACCTTCATCCCAAATTCCAGCTGTATATCTACAACCAGTTGGTCAGGTAACTGCACCTTTTTCAGTGCACTCTTTGATAGAGCATGCTCTGTTCTTTTCGTTTGTTGTGTTTGCTTTTTTTCTTTTTTTTTCTTTTGTTTGTTTAACAGCAGCCCAGAGGCCTCTTGTCACGTGTCATATGGACTTTACCCTAGTGTCTCTACACTAAATGACATGATGATTGTTTAAGAATGAAGCATCAGTTCCTCTTGGCCTTTTATTGCTTGTTGGATGTGCAAGAACTTTTTCCTTGGTTAGCTATCATTACAGAGCTAACAGCAGTAATAAAAGTTGCTCATCTTGTATTAGTCACAGCATCTATATGTAGACAGTTAATTAGTGGCTCTCGACTAACCAAAATTTTTTTCCTAAATCAATAATTTCTCCCAACCCTTTAGGCCCAAGATAAGATTTAACTTCAGAAATCAGGTTAAATTGAGACAGTCAAGTGCATCAAATGGTGCTCAGCGCTCATACACAGAAAGATCTATCACCTGACATTGCATTGCTTAGGTAAAAGCAAAGCCTAAATTTGAAAATAAAAATAAAACGAGGATATATATAAATATGTATAATCATTTTTGTTTGTTTGTTTGCTTGGGTATTGGGGCACCTTGGGGTTTGTTTTTATAGTTGCTTTTGGTTTTGTTTTGAGTTTTGTGTGTTTTCTGATCTGAGCTTTTAGGATAAATTTCTTACATACTCTCTCTCTTATGAAAAACAGTCACCTATAGAAAAAGGAGTATGTAAGTTACTGAATAACAGCGTCAGTCAAGTTTGTTCAAATATCCATTAGATTTTCTTTTCTGAATTTACCACTAGCTTTCCTTCACTACCCCGACAACCTGTTGTAAGAAAACACTAATTTTCTCATATTAAAAAAAATAAGTTGGCTCATTTTGTGTCTGTCATTTCAAGCTTAGGGAGAGAATGATCTGAGTGCCTGCTTGTTGGTAAGGCATGAATGTCAGCTTTCAGTTACCTCTGCCTAGAGGTGGCTTTCTGACTGTCTTCCCGGTGTGACTGTAGGTTTCTGACAAAGCGAGAACAGAAGCTAATGCAGCGCCGACAGCATGCGGAGGAGCTTCTGGAGTGGAAGCGGCGTCTAGACGCAGAAGAAGCAGAAATCCAACAGATGGAAAAACAAGCTTTGGCTGCCTGGGACAAAGAACTAGTAAAACCCAAAACTCCTAAGAAAGAACTGGAGAGCCAGCGAACAGAGCAGAAAGGTAATGAATACAAACTAAAGCCTAGCCTAGCTTATTTACTGATTTTTGGGTGGGAATGGTTGAAAGCGAAGAAGGCAGTGAAGCTGCACGGGTGCACAACTTATAAGACACTAAGTAACTTCTTGAAAAGGTAAATGTGAAGTTGGTTTTTTTTTAAATTCAACTTGTCAAAGCTCAATAGATGTTCAAACCAGGAAAACTTGGGTGTTTAATTCTTTATTTTCCACAGAAGGCAAAAAGAGATACATTTTTCATCTCACTTTATGATATTAGTATATAACTTCAATGCTAAATCCATAAGAGAATAACATGAGAAAGGAAAAAAAAAACGTTCTTTTTTGTCCTAAATACTATACATACAAATCTAAAGAGGAAAAATTACAGTCATTTGAGTGGATTCAGAAAAAGACTTAGGATCACATATGTAAACCTTAGATCAAAGTACACATGGAAAGAAACTGTCTTTAACCAGCAAAACAGAACAACAAAACCCAGACTTAAAACAGATATAATACTTAGTATTAAAACAGATTACTTTCCCCTTGAAAATGTTTATTAAGCATTATATGAAGGTTCTAGAGAGTTCAATAAGGCTTGAAAAAAAAAAGTAAAAGCTGTAAGAAGGGAGTGGAAGACACAGAATTCTATTACTTACAGTTAATAAAGGAATACACATAGAAAACCCAGAATTTGGTACTGGAGAGGTGGAGCATTAGGTAAGAGTGCTTGTTTCACAAGTGTAGGAACCTTTAAGTACCTGTAAAAAGCTAGGCAAGCATCCTCTCTGCTTGTAACCTCTGAATATGGGGCAGAGTCTGCCAGCTCCAGGGTCAGTGAGAGACTGTCTCAAAGGACTGAGGTAGAGAATGATAGAGCAGGACACTTGACCTTTCCTGACTTCCACACGTGTACATAGGCACATATAATCGCACATTCATGTACACAAATACCCCTCCGTCACACACAGGAAAACCCAGAATCTGCACTTTGTTAGAATAATGAGTGAGTTTAGCAAGATCACTAGTTAGAGAACCAAATGATGAAACCCAGTTGTTTTGGGTTGGAGATGTAAATCAGATGCTGGAATGTTTGTCTAGAGTGTGTTAAGCCCTGCATTCCTCCCCCACCACCCGGATGTGATGGCACAGGATTGCCTCCAAATCGGAGGCAGGAAGATTAGAAGTTCAAGGTCATTCTCAGTCTAACAGTAAATTTGAAGCCAGCTTGGGCTGTCAGAAACCCTGACTGAAAAGCCAACCAGATCAATCAACAACAACCCACTTATTCATGCTTCTGCATGCAGCCCTTGTCATATTAAATAGAATCACTTCAAAGGGGCAGGGTAGGAGCAGTGCTGGGGAAATGGCTCAGTGTTTAAGGTGCTTCCCACCCTTCGGGGACTTGTTTGGTTCCTAGCATCTGTGTCAGGTGTCTTGTAACTACCTGTAACTCCAGCTCCAGGGGACCCAGTGCCCTCTTCTGGATTCCTTGTGCATACACACACACACACACACACACACTCACATACACAAGTCTTTGAAGAATTATTTGAAAGTAGGAAAGAGAAAGGATCTGGAAGAGTGGGAAGGGGACAAGAGAGGACAATAGGTGAATCTGATACATTATATACAAATATGGAGATATAAGACTGCATTGTGTATAATATGCCTAGTAAATTTTTACTTAAAAAGTTACAAGTAGAATTAGGCATGGTGGAACATACTTATAACCCCAATACTCAGTAAATTGAGGTAGGGAGAATTGTGACTTTGAAGCCAGCTTAAACTACAGAGTCTGAGACCAAAATAAGGAGAACCTGTCTCTAAACAAACAAACAAACAAACAAAAATATGAAGTACTTTCATACAAGGTTAATAATACAAGATCTTTGGGAAGGAAAATGTAGAGCTTTGTTAGGAGATGTTAAACAGTAAAACAGTTTCCCATTACAAATGAACCCAGTGTCATACGATATTTATTTTCTTTGAACTCATCTCTAGAGCCAGGGCCATTTAGATCTGAGGCCCACCGAGGCTTCTGAAAAGGGTTTTGATGACCTCCATTAATTTTTATGAACAAAAGGTCAAAAGAGCAAGACCCTGGTAAAGAAGAACCATAACAGGTGGAACCAATTTCACCGTATACCAAGACTTTTAAATGTGCAACAATTTAAACAATGTGATAGTTACATAGAGATGGAAATAGACTGTGAACAGAGAACCCAAGAAACACCCATGCATTTATGGAAGGTTAACATGACACAAGCAACTTTTCAGACTTACAGAGACAAAAGGCACTCTCCAACAGCTGTATAGGAGGAAACAGTGAAGTGCTGAGTCCACACCTGACAGCATGAAAGATCTGTACCAGCCAAGCGTGGTGCCTTTAATCACAGCACTTCGAGGCAGAGGCAAGAGGATTTTTGTGAGTTCAAGGCCTGTCTGGTCTGCAGTTTTTGAGTTCTAGGACAGCCAGGACTGCATAAAGGGATCCTGTTTCAAAAAGAAAGACAAGAAAAAGTGTGTTCAAGATATCATTTTACCTAACTGATAGAAATTTTTTACTTAGTATTTCTGTTATAGACAGTGTCATAGATATCTTTAGCATAGTTAGGTAGAGTGCATATGTAGACGCATATATCATGTGTCTACGTATAGTATAGCAGAAGGTTTCAGACTCTTTGCTTAACCAAAATATTTATCTTTGATGTTGTCTGTTCTGAACGCTGCTGGTTGCAGCCCATTGCTTACACCTATAATGAGTTAGCACTTCCAGTTGTCCTAGGAATATAACCTAGGAGTAAAAGTTTTAGGTCATAAAGTATTTGCTTCATCTTTTCAAAAAGCACTAAAATATTTTCCAAAGAGACAGAAGCAGTTTCCAGTTTGTGAGTTATAACTGCTGTGCACTCTCATATTTAGTCAGTCATCGTCACTGGGTATACATGGTGAAGGTCTGCTTTCAGATGGTGTCAGCCAAAATTGCCAGTGAACAGACTGTTAAATAATGGTAAATAATGTGGTTTTTACGCCGAGAACAAGTCTAAAATGTAACAAGTTTAACTTCTTTATTGACAAAGATTGGACATTTTTTGGTTTTACCCTGTGTTTCTAGGAATAGCAAGTGAAGAGGGATCTCCGATGCCTTCCTACTCTCCGCGGAACACTGACAGTTGTATTCCAGAAGAACTAGGCAGCCCTTCTGATTTATGTATACCTTCTGAGTCTAGGGTACAGGCACAGCCTGGGAGTCCAGATCAAAGTATACTTACTGAGGAAATGGCTTTCTCACAGGAACTGGAATCTACCTCTCCTAGTAAACATGTAAGTTAATGTCTATATTTTAAAACTTCTTTAGAAAAAACAATATGTTGAGAAAGTATTACTAATAGTTATATTATTCCTGTTAATGGCAGCAGTATCAGCCATGCTTGTAACAATCAGGATTTAACATTTGGAGAGAAATAAAACTTTTAATAAGCTTATATTTATAAGTATATGAATTTAGCTTTAGTTAAGCAGTTAAAATTATACTCTGTCAAGTCTAATAATATGAAAGAGATAGTGCCCTAATTAGAGTTACTGTTGCTGCAATGAAACACCAATGACCAAAAGGAAGTTGGAGAGGAAAAGGTTTATTTGGCTCATACTTCCACATCACTGTTCATCATCTAAGGAAGTCAGAGCAGGAACTCAAACAGGGCAGGAACCTGGAGGCAGGAGCTGCTGCAGAGGCCATGGAGGGTGCTGCTTACTGGCTTGCTCCACCTGCTTTCTTTCTGAACTCAGGACAATCAGCCCAGGGTAAGTACCAGTGATCTGGGCCCTTCCCCATCGATCACTAATTAAGAAAATGCCCTACAAGCTTTCATACAGCCCTCTCATATGGCAGCATTTTCTCCATTGAGGTTGCCTTCTCTCAGATGCTTCTAGGTTGTGTCAAGTTGACATAGAAACCAGTGAACACAAGCAGGGATTTTTTTTTTTTTTTTCGAGACAGGGTTTCTCTGTTTAGTCCTGGCTGTCCTGGAACTCACTCTGTAGACAAGGCTGGCCTCGAACTCAGAAATCCGCCTGCCTCTACCTCCCAAGTGCTGGGATTAAAGGCGTGTGCCACCAATGCACGGCACAAGCAGAGATTTTTGAAGTCTGTAACAGGATCAGTAGGTGGGTGATAAGGACCTTAACTGCCAAGTTTGATGGCCTGGCTTTGATTCTCAGAATAGAGACAACTAACTCCTACAAGTTTTCCTCTGACTAGCACGTGGTGCATACACACACATACACACACACATGTGCATGCGTATATGTGTGTGTGCTTGTGCATGAACATACATATACATGCATACATACACAGAGTAATGATTATTTGTGCAAACATGACAAGTTCTTTTACAAATCTGCTTTGTCTTAAAAAGCATAAGATCTTTAAAACATGCCAAAGTGCCCTTGCTATACTTTAGTTAGTAACTGCTAGTTCATAGAGTTAGAGTGATGATTATGTCACTTTAAAATATCTGAAATGAATGGTTTTCAATTATCATTACACTGGGCATTATTAGAATAATAATATTCTTTTATTCTATATTTCATAGAAAGATAAAAAACTCAAGATAGAAACTCACCTGTTTTTAAAACTGATTTCTACAAGGTTAAGACATGAGCATAGCAATACAAAACACTAACAAATATAATAGTAAAGCTTTTTTATTGAAAAAGTTACATATGTGCTGGTGTGTATGTTTCTGTGTGTAAAAGTCAGAAGAAACTTGTAGGAGTCAGTGCTTCCGTGAACCCCGTGGATTCCGGCAGTTGAACACAGGCTGTAGGATTGGCAACAAGTGCTTTAATCTGCTGAGCCATTTTACTGACCCACGTCAAAACCTCCTTAATTTAAAAAATATGGATAGGAACGTCTGTAGTTAGAATTTTGTTTTAGAATTGTTATTTTATTTTGTGTATATGAGTGTCTGGCCAGCAAGTTTGTCTGTGCACCATAAGGACATTGGATCCTGAAACAGCAGTTACAAATGGTGATGAGCCACCATGTGGATGCTAGGATTTGAATCTAGGTCCTCTGCAAGAGCAGCCCTGGTCTTCAGACCTGGTCTTCAGAATGAGAACCTAACTTAAATTTTATATATAATATAGAATATATATAAACTTAATGTAATTATAATGAATTATAATGCAATTATAATTAAAATATAATGAAACCCAGTATTCTTATGCTAATCAAGAAATTACATTAAAGAAGAAGAAAAAGAAAAGGGTTTTTTTTTTTATTCACTTAATATCCTGATTGCTGCCCACCCCGCTGCTAGTCACACCCTCCCACAATCCTTCCTCCATCCCCTTTTCTCCTCTGAGAGGATGGTGTCCCCACTGTGTATCTCCCCCTCCATCCTGGAACATCAAGTCTCTGTGGAGCTAGGCATATCCTTTTCCACTGAGGCCAGACAAGACATCCCAGCTAGAACAACATATCTTACAGCCAGGCAACAGCTTTTGGGACAGCCCCCACTCCAGTTTTGGAGGTTCACATGAAGATCAAGATGTTACATATATGTGGTGAGGCCTAGGGCTAGCCTGTGTATGTTCTTTGGTTGCTGGTTCAGACTCTGAGAGCCCCAAGGGTCCAAGTTAGTTGACTCTGTTGATCTGCCTGTGGAGTTCTTATCGCCTTTAGGGCCCTCAATCCTTCCCCTAACTCTCCCATGGGAGTCCCCAGCCTCCATCCAATGTTTGGCTGTGGGTCTCTACATCTGGTTCAGCTGCTGGGTGGAGCTCTCAGAAGACAGCCATACTAGGCTCCTGTCTGCAAGCATGACATAGTAACATTAATAGTGTCAGAGGGATTGGTGTGTGTTTGCTCATGGGATGGGTCTCTAGTTGGGCTGCTTATTGGTTGGTCAGTCCCTCAGTGTCTGCTCCATTTCTTATAGACAAGGTAGGTTTTGGCTTGAAAGTTTTGTGGGTGGGTTGGTATCCCTGTCGCTCAACTGGGTTTCTTGCCTTGGCTACAGGAGTTGGCCTCTTCAGGGCCAGTCATCTCCCCTATGCTATGAGTCTCAGCTAAGGATGCTCCTATTGATCTTGGGTGCCTCCCCTATCTAGGTCTCAGTCTCTTCCTGGAGATGCCTCCCACCCCTGCTAGTTGCAGATTTCCATCATTCTCATGGCCATCTGGCCATCCCTCCTGTCCCTCTCCACACCTGAGCCTGACCCTCCGTCCCCTCTCCCATCCCGTTTCCTCCCTCAGTCTGCATCCTGCAGCTGTTATAGTCCGTCTTCTAGGTTAGATTCACGGACCCTCACTCGGGCCTTCCTTCTTGTGTAGCTTCTTTGGGTCTGAGGAGTGTAATGTGGGTATCCTTTATCCTATAGCTAATATCTACCTGTAAATGAGTACATAGCATGCATGTCCTTTTGGGTCTGGGTTACCTCACTCAGGATGGTATTCTCAAGTTCCACCCATTTGCCTGCAAAAGTCATGATGTCTTTGTTTTAAATAGCTGCATAGTATTCCGTTATGTAGATGTACCACATTTTCTTTATCCATTCTTCAGTTGAGGGACATCTAGGTTGTTTCCAATAATGTTTTTAATAAACTATTTTTTTCCCTTTTGTGAAATTATAAAGTTGTACTAAAATTTAATATATTCAATTATTATATAAATTATTAAATTTGATTATTTGATATAAAAATGTTATAAAATATACTTTAAAAATAGTTACTTAAAATGTAATTGGGGGCTGGAAAGATGACTCAGAGGTTAAGAGCACCCACATGACAGTAGCTGTAGTTGTAGGGGATTCCACACCCTTGCTGGCCTCTGTAGGCCCTAGCTAGGCACATGGTACACCACCATACAGATAATAAAGAAATACATTTTAAAAAGTTGTAATTGCTATCTGTACTTGGTCGTATCTCAGATTTAAAATATAAGTTCTGTTGTATGACAAAATAATTCCTGTTTGCCTTTCTGTTTGAACAGTCGCCTCTCAAAAGTTGCTTATCTGTGTCAAAGCAAGAGTCTAGCAAAGCAAGTCATAGGACTGAAGGACACTGTCATCAGCCTGTCAAGTTTCACCAGCCCTGTTACAGTTGGTCAGATGAGTCACTGTCTATGACACAGTCAGGTAAGGCTGCAATGAGTTTCTTCTTTTGGTTTTGAGTTCACCTTTAATAAGCTTTTTCTGACCACATGCTAGCACTCTGTTATCCTTTATTGCTTTGTATGGCCAGGATGAACTCATATAGCTCAGTGATCATCATTGATAATTATATACTTGATTCCACAAATTGTAGCTAACTTTATTCTCTTGTGTTAGTAGACATTTATTTCTCCAAAAATTTCTTTCCATCTGTCCATGTCCGACAGTGGCTGTGTGTCTCTACAGCACTCTGTACTTCAGTGTGCTGTGTTTGCACAGCACAGCTGGTAGAGCAGCTGGGCCTACCAGGTGTGGATTGAACTCCTGGCAGCAGGTTCTATGTTTTCTCACCATTTGCAATACCAGTGCCTCATAGGTACTGTTGATTGTATGCTGGGTGTTTATTCATTTTCTCAATGAGTTATTAGTAACCATGAGGTTAGAAGGTTTTGGGACAGGATAGCAGAAATCTCAAGGGAGCCATGTAGAGAAACAATAGCCTGTGGATGGCAATGGGAACATTCTGGGTTTTTGTTTGTTTGTTTGTTTTGTTTTTATATATATCTCTCTCCCTGTTCATGTCTCTATTGGATGTTGATTTTGAAAGACTGAAAGCTTCTACCTTGCAAGGCATCAGGAGTTTGTTGGTCTTGGGAAGCATATCTAAAGGGAAAGTGCTGTGTTTATTAGAATTATGAGGAAGATGAATGTAATATTGAGTATTGCCATATTAATTATATTGATAAGCATATATAGCCATTTGAGCTCATTCTTAAAGACATTCGTTTTTTGTTTTGTTGGTTTTGTTTTGGGGGCTTTTGTTGTTTGTTTGTTTGTTTGTTTTTTAAAGTTAAGATGTTTAGTTGTTTCTGTGAGAGGAGGTGGACAGGGGAAGTAGTCTAATAAGGGAAGTACTTGTTGCAAGTATGAAGACCTTGGTTCAGCTCCTAGACTCCATGCAGAAGGGAAACTGGGCATAGTGGTGTGAGCTTGTAAGATTAGTCCAGGGGAAGTGGAGGTAGGCAGATGCTTGCAGCTTGTTTGCCAGCTAGACTAGCCTGTTTGTGGAGAACCCATGTCTCAGAAAACAAGTCAGATAAGCCTAAAGAAAAACACCCAAGGTTGATCCCTGGCCTCCACCAAACACATCCATGTATACACCCACACACATATGAACTCTCCCCTCCAACACACACATATGAACCCACACATACATATATGAACCCCACATACACACATTTTTAAAAGGTAGATAATATACCATAATTCAGCTATTTTCCTGATGATTGTTATCTAGATATTCTTAAATGTTCACAGTTGTAAATAATGCTTTAAGAAATATATACAACATTTTAGAAATCTGATTTATAGAAATAGAATTATCAGGTCAAACATTGAAAATTATTATATTTTTATTTTTGTATAGCTACTAGTAGTTGTATAAGTTTGTTTTGCATGTTCTAGTGCAGACTTATTTTGATAGAGTGTATTTAGTAGACATAAGCTTCATATGCACTTAGAAACATGCATTCCTACTTTGGAGCTGTTACTTACAACTTTCTTCAAGTTTGTTTCCCATACTGGATTCTTTTTTCCACTGGAAGCAAGAAGATTAAGTTTTCACCACTTTTGCATGAGTTATATGTTATAGATAATGATAGTATTGTGAGAGTTTTATTGCTAGAACTTAAGTTTAAAAAAACAATTTTAGAAAAATAGTGAGATTTTGAATTATATATAAGATGTAGCTCTTCAGGAGAACATTGTTATAAACAGTATTTGAAAGAGTTGTAAGTTTTAATGTGGAATTAGCCAATAACTGTGAATGAAGGGAGAAATCAAGTTGATACAACTTGAAGCAACCTGTCTGTCCAGACCCTGCTCACCTCCACGCGTGCCCACCGCTTCCCCAGACTCTGCTCACC